GCGGGAGTTATGAAAGGAAAGAAAGACAGAAAAGCTAGGAGTGGTGGCACACATCTGTAATCCCAGGATTTGGGAGGCTGAGGCAGGAGGATTGCTGTTTGAAGTCCTCCTGGACTGCACAGTCAGTTCAAGGGTAGCTTGAATTATAGTGAGACCCTGTCTCAAAAAATAAAACTAAAGGCACAAAGAACTATACCAGGTTGAGGGAGACGAAAGAGACAAATATGCCTATTGAATTGCACTATCCTAGATTGGATCTTGCATCAGGGTGAAACATAGAGGTAATCTGAATATGGAGTATATGAATATTACGTTTTTTCAGTTTCCCAGTTATTCTGTGGTTATCAAAAGAACACCCTTGCCTGTAAAATGTACATGCCAAAGCATTAGGGCTGCTGGAGTGAGGTGATACCTGTAGTTAGCACTCAGTTTAAGAAACACGTAAACAAGTAAATGGTGGAACATGTTAATTGGTGCATCTGGGTGAAGCATATCCTGGAGTCTTTGGCACTAAGAACTCTTCTTGTAGGTTTGAAATTATTTCAAAATAATTTTTCTTGAAACCTACCATCTCAGAGGAATTCCTAAACACTGTAATGACTCCTCTCATTATTAAAATAGCGTAATGGGTTCAGAGTCTCTTGGGGAATGAGGACTGCTTTTTGCTCCTTTTCCTACTTGCATTTTGATGAGTTGTCACAAGATGCCTGCTGAGAGTAGCAAGGATCTAGTAGGTAAGCACTGTTAAACACGAAGCTAAAACAGGAATCTTACCATACCCAGTGACTTCTGTTTTTTCAGAAAGAAATGTAACTTGGACAAAACAGTGAGCATCTTGATTAAATTAAATCATTAAAAAACTGCATTGCGGTTCAGTTTTGAGATTAGATTTAAAAAAACCCTTAAGTTTATAGCACACGTCAGTGACGTATTTAACTATTACTAGCCTTACCTAAATATCTGGTTTCCTTTATGTACTTCATTTTTTAAAGATCATTTCTTGGCCTCTGGTGGCTGTGATCTTTATTACTATGCTTATAGTACATAAATATTATATTCCTCAGGGAAATTGGTACCTACCTGTATATAACATTTTAATTCAGTTTTCCCATTTTAATTCCCTTTCCCCTCCTTCCAGTACTTGATCCCCTTCCCATTTGCAGAAGATCTAATCCCTGCTTCCCGTTACCTGTTTGTTTTGGTTTGTTTTTTTGTGGGATTGAATTCATGACCTTGAGTTTATCAAGCAAGTGCTCGAATAGCAGAGCTGAATTCCCTACCCCTTTGGGTTTTTTTGTTTTTTGGGTTTTCTTTGAGATAAGATCTGCTTTGCAGTTCAGGCTTTCCCCGAACTCACTGTGTAGCCCCTGCAGGAATTGAATTTGCGGCAGTCCTCCTGTCTCAGCTTCCTGAATCCTGGAATTACAGTTGTGCACCACTATGTGCAGCTCCATTGTCTGCTTTTTTATTTTACTACTTCCTCTTTTTAATACCAGGAATCTAACTCAGGATCTTACCAGGCAGGTGCTGTGCCACTGGCCTGCTGAGTTGTACCCTTGGCCTGCTCTTTATTTTATTTTGGATTTCTTATAAAAGCGAAACCATGCAATATTTAAGCTTGTGTGTCTGATTTATGTCACTTAGCATTATAGTCTTGAGATGCATCTACTTTCCTACTGATGACTCAGATTTATCCTTTATGGCACAGTAGCACTACATCCATTTTAAAAAATCCATTCATGATGGACATGTAGGCCACTTGTAGTATTTGGCCTAATTGTGCTGCTGTGAATACATGGGTATGCATGGATCAGTGTAATATGGTGTTTTTAACTCTTTGGGAAAAAAAAAAGAAGTAGCTAGGTTGGATAGAATTTCTAGTTTTAGCTTTTTGAGGACTCTTAATATAAATTTCCATAGTAGCTGTGCTAGTTTACATTTCTACCAACAATATATAAGGGTTCCTTTTTCTTCACAGCTTTGCCAGCATTTTTATTATTTGATTTATTGAATAAGATACAGCCATTCTTTCTGGGATAATATGGAATCTCAATGTTTTAATTTACCTTTCTTTTTTTTTTTTTTTTTTTTGGTTTGTTTCTGAAACAGGGTCTTATACAAGCTGACTTTGAACTCACTTATATAGCCTGGGCTGTCTTCAAACTCATGGCAATCTTCCTACCTCAGCCTCCCAAGTGCTGGGATTACAGGAATGCACCACCATGCCAGGCATAATTTATCTTTCCTTAATGGCCAGAAATACTGAGCATTTTTCTTGTGTTTTTTTGGCCATTTGTATTTGTTCTGAAAAGTGTCTATTCATTTCAGTTGCTTATTTTTTGATTGGTTCCTTTATTTGGGGGAGGGGTTAATTCTTTTGAGTTCTTTATTTAGTCTAGATATTAGCCTCTGTCCAAGGAATAGCTGACAAAACTTTTTCCCATCATGTATACTGTCTTTTCACTCTGTTGGTTGGTTCCTTTGCTGTGTGATTTAATTTGATATCCTTTTTGTTGATGGTTTGCGTTGTTTCTTGTAGAATTGGTGTTCTGTTCAGAAAGTCTTTGCCTACTCCTATGTAATTAAGAGTTTTACCTATTTTATCTTCCAGCAGATTGTTTTAACATTTAGATCTCTGAGCCGTTTTGATTTTAGTTTAATTTATGGTGAGAGATATGAGTTTAGATTCAATCTTTTGCATATGTATAGCCAATTTCAGGAATGTTAGCTTAAGAGGAAAGATGTTAATTAACTCAAGCAAGAATCAACAAAGTGATCTCTATATATGCCCAGGATGGTCCCAGACTTCTGGGCTCATAAGATCTTCCTGCCTCAGCCTCACTAATTAGTGGAGTTATAGATTCATGCTACCATGCTTGGTCCTTTATGTTTTGTTTTGTTCTCAGAACTGGGGATTGAACCCAAGGTATTGCCTATGCTTAGGCACATGTTCTACCACTTAACCACAGAGCTATCCTGCCAACTTCCACTGGTTCAGTTTTGGAATGCATTATTGCTAACTATAGTCAACCTTACCATGTCGTACGTCACTAAAACTTGTTCTTCGTGAAACTGTACCCTTCACTATTGTCTTTCCTTCCTTTCTCCCTTTAAGGATTTTATATCTGTGTTCCTGAAGACTGCTAGGCCTTAAGGTTTTTAGTGTCTTTGGCAGAGTAATGTTAGTCTATAGAATGAATTAGAAAGTATTTGTTCTTCTTATAAAGTTTTGGGGCTAATTTATATAGACTCAGTTTTATTCCTCCCCTAAATGTTTACCAGAACTTACCAATGAAATTGGTCTGGAAAGGCTTTTAATAAAAATTTAATTAACATAGAACTATTAACCTATTTCTTTCTACATAAGTTTGATAATATTTTTCAAAATAATTTGTTTCATTTAGTTGTAGAACTTACTGGTAAAAGTGTGTATTTTCTTTTTATTCTTTTAATGTCTGTAGGATCTGTGATGCTGTCCCTTCTCCCTCTCTCTCCCCCGCCCTCCTTCCCTCCCCACCACTGATTGAACCCGGGACCTTCACACTGAGCTACATTCCCAGGCCCTCTTTTTTTTAGTTTATTATTTTGAGTTTATTATTTATATTTATTATTATTATTTATTATTGAGTTTATTATTTTTATTATTATTATTATCATTAAGTTGCTAAATTGTATGGGCTGGGCTCAAACTAACAAGCCTCCTTCCTTAGCCTCCCAGGCTTTTTTTTTTTAGTTAATTTTTTTTAAATTGAGCACAGTGGTATATGACTAATCTCAGCAATTGAGAGGCTGAGGCAGGAAGATCTCTAGTATGAAACCAGCCTGGGCTATATAATAGGAAAACCTTGTCTCATGGTTTTTTTTTTTTTTTTTTTTGTCTTTTTCCTTTTCATCGGTACCAGGGATCGAACTCACGACTACCTGTTTGCAAGGCAGGCACTTATGCCGCTGAGCTAAATCCCCAGCCCCGTGCCTCAGCTTTTTAAAAATTCTGACCTAATTCTCATCAACTTAGGAGGACTTCAGAGCAGTGTTTGAGCTTCTTTTCTCTGCACTGGAAAGGCTGGAAATTTTCTTTAAGTAGTAAATTTTGGAATTGTAGGAGTCACCTTGTTTGTTTTGCGCTGAGAATACAGTTCTATGCTACCAGTTGCTCACTGTCTGAAAAATGGTTGTTTCATATGTTTTATTATCTTTCCTAGTCGTTTATGGTACAAGGGTGATTCCTGAACAGCTTAATCCTTCACTAGTTGAAACAGAATCCCTATGTAAAGTTTACATTTTGCAAACTTTAAAATAATCTGGAGGAGGAGATTTTGTTCCTTTAACTTCTAGCAGATCAACTCATCTTCTCCACACTCATTTTTCTGGATTTGTATTTACTTTAGGATAAGTTGATTTCATTATCACTTCAAAGTATAATAAAATCATTTGCAAGTCAGGACACAATACCAGTACAGGCAGATTTTTACAGATTCTTTTAGTAAGGTACAGGAAATGCTTGTACATTTTTTTGTGGTGGTAGTTGTCATTTATTAACTAACTTCTATCCTAAAGCTAAATGGCCCTCATTCTGAGGATGACAGGTAAGACCTGTCTCTTTTATTCTTTTTCCAAATATTTGCAGCCCTAGAGGATTGGCCAGGCTAAATGGAATTTTGTTCTTTTAAATTGCTTTGGGCTTATTTTCTATTACTATATTCAGTCTTTGTCTAAAGACATTATATACAGTTCTTGTTATTATCTCTTGTGATTTAACTCAGTATTTTTTTGCTACTGTTCTCATTTTGTTCACTTGAGTGATACTAATTTAAACTTATTTAAGAGAGGGTATCACTAAATTGCAAAAGGGGCTGGGCTTGAATTTGATACTCTGACCTCAGCCACAGATTGATACTCTGACCTCAGCCATAGCTAGACCACTATGTCTAGCTGACTGAATAAAGCTGTTTTTGAACTGTCGCCACATAATGGATTCACTTGCCTGATTTCTTTCCCAGGTGGTACAGTTGCATGCTGGGAAAGAAATGTAGCCTGGCTCCTCTGAAGGAAGAGCTTCGCATTCAGGGGGTAAGACTTGGTCCTTATTGCTGTCATGGTAACTTATTTTTGCTTTTTGTGTTTCTTTGTTTTGTTTTTGTTTTTTGAGACAGGGTTTCGCTATGTAGTTCAAGCTAGCCTTGAATTCACTGTGCAACCCTCCCACCTTAGCCACCTGAGTGCTAGAATTACAGGCATGTGAACCATGCCTAGCTAGTATGATAACAATTTGAGTACTCAGAATTCTGAATATAATGGTTTTCATTTTTGTACTATTTTTCTTTTTTAAAAAATTCTGTGTTGGAGGATCTGGGTTCGACTCCCAGCATCTCACCCACATGCAATAAATAAATAAATAATTTTGTGGCTAGACTTGGTGACACATGCTTGTGATCTCAGCACTTAGACGGCTGAGGCAGGAAAATTGCCTTGAGTTTGAGGGCAGCCTAACCTACATACCATAGAGAAACCCTGTCTCAAACAAATAAACCTGTAACTTTAGGGCTAAGAGGGATTTTTATATGTTATTAAGACATATAAAAATTGTAAACTAGAAATCAAAAATTATGAAGTCAGCCAGATGTGATGGCACACATCTGTAATCCCAGTAGGTGGGAGGCCAAGTCAGGAAGATTTCTGTGAGTTTCAAGCCAGCCTGGGTTACAGAGTTGAAGGCCAATCTGAACTACATACCATAGTAAGACCTTCTGTCAAAAAAACAAAAACAAAACAGAACTCGGGGCTGGGGATTTAGCTCAGCGGCATAAGCACCTGCCTTGCAAGCAGGCCGTCGTGAGTTTGATTCCTGGTACTGATAAAAATGAAAAAGACAAAAAAAAACCAGAACAACTCCCAGAACTGTGATGTCAGCACAGACCTCACATCTGACTTTTCATAAGTACAGAAACTGAACACCAGAGAGGTTAAAGGTCTTGCTCTAGGCCACACAGCTAGTTTAAAATCAGTTAGAAACGCAATACTGCTGTAGTCTGCTAGCTAATTCTCTGTACCATTTGCTCTATGATCTTTAAATGGTTTTTTTTGTTTTTTGTTTTTTGGTACCAGGGATTGAACTCACAACTGCAATTGTTCCATGATCTTGTTGTTTTGTTTTTTTTTTTTTTTGTCTTTTTCCTTTTTATCGGTACCAGGGATCAAACTCACGACTGCCTGCTTGCAAGGCAGGCGCTTATGCCGCTGAGCTAAATCCCCAGCCCCCATGATCTTGTTTTAAAAGACAAATTGAAAATAAATCCTCCCTGTATACCACTCCCCTCCCAATGTGTGGTATTTGGCACGAGTAGGCAGTGCCTTTCAGTGGAGAGGATCAGTGGAAGAAATCAAGTTTCTCTCCCTCTCCCTCTCCCTCTCCCTCTCCCTCTCCCTCTCCCTCTCCCTCTCCCTCTCCCTCTCCCTCTCCCTCCCCCTCCCCCTCCCCCTCCCCCTTCTGTCTGTCTCTCTCTCTGTCTCTGTCTCTCTCTCTCTCTCTCTCTGTCTTTCTCTCTCTCTCTCTCTCTTTCTCTCTCTCTCTCTCTCTCTCTCATACTAGGAATTGAACTCAGGATCTTGCTCTTGCCAGGCAGGTGCTATGCCACTGAGCTATATCCCCAGCCTTGTGTCTGTCTCTGTCTCTCTGCCTGTCTGTCTGTCTCTCAGGTTCTCTTATCATTGAGCAGAAACCAAGTTTCCGATCACTGTTTTTTTTTTTTTAGACATTCTACTTACCCTGTTTACCAAACACTATTTTTGGTAAGATTGTAAAAGCAACAAAGTGTGGTTCCTTTTTCTTTCCTAAAATGTGATAGATTCCATAACTGTGTTTATCCAGGCTTTGGTTGGCTCTCTTTATTAAAAAGGAAGACAAAAACAAGTTGAATCATTTTACAAATGATTCCCTAAAGAGCAGTTTGGAGTATTTTTGCTGTTTGAACTTTCGAGTTAGATTTATAAATTCTCTTTAAAGTTTTGTAGGAGGAAAAATTTAACAGGAGCTAGTGGCCAGAAATATCAGCCTGACTTCAGTTTAATGAGATACTGTATTTGTTGGTTTCAGGTTCCTAAAGTCACCTTCACTGAGTTCTGTCAAGGTCGGACAATGAGATGGGCCTTAGCCTGGAGTTTTTATGATGATGTCACAGTACCAGTAAGTAGAGCCTTTACTTTGGCTTCTTCAAATGCCAGCAAATGGTGGGTTTTATGAGGTCATAAATGAACTAAATCTGTATTGTTCCATTTCCCAGAGGTTTGTCCTCAAGAAAAGTGGAAAGTTGTTGTAAATAACACACAGGAGCCAGGGACATAGCTCAGCAGCATAAGCGCCTGCCTGGAAGCACAAGGTTGTGAGTTCAATTCCTACTACCAAAAAAAACCCAGTCACATTCTCTAAATGATAAAATATGCAGATAAACATACTAATGGTTGTCAGGAACAAGAACAGAGGGCTAGGAAGTAAATAAGACCCAGTCCTGGAAGACTGACCATGAGGGTTGTGGAGCCTTCCAGCGAGGCTGAATGGTTTTCTGGGCTGTGGTAGGAAATGGTAAGAGAACAGTATCTCTGTTCTCATATTTCCCTCCTTGGGCTGCTCTCGCTCTCCTTCTGTGTGTGTGTGTGTGGGGGGGGTGTTTGCCTAGCTCCGGATTACAGGCATCTACTACCACATCTGGCAGACTTTAATTAATTGTGTAAGGACCACCCACAGTAAGTTTATGCACGCTGCGCAGCATGTGTAAGTACTTGCAGTATTCCTGGAGGCTTGGGACCGCACCTGCAAGTGCTCATTCACACTCCGTATGCCAGGCTTGTTCTGAGAGCTGTTCTTCCTAGTCTTGGTGGTTCTTGATTTCTACAGCCACCTTGAATGCTGCCATGTGTCTTTCTCTGCTCCCTGTAGAATGGAAAAGTAAAGATATAAGGAAGCACCAGGGTACAATTTGCAGCCACTGCCTGTTTCTAAAAACACGAGCTCAAATTAGAGACTGAGCCTATCCTCCTGCTGGATTGAAGTTCCCCCTCCATTTGAATAGTTCCCATGGGAGCACAGGCTTGCCCCCGGATGGTGCAGTGGGGTACTTAGAAGTTAGTGTTTGAAGCCACACCTGTAACCCCAGCCCTTGGGGCAGCCTGGGCCACGTAGTAATTTCAAGGACAGCCTGAACTGCATAGCAAGACCCTGTCTCAAAACACCAAAAAAGAGAAGAAAAACACTTCTGTTTTTTGACCCCCTTTCTATTATCTTTGTGAATGCTGAGACCTTAATACCAGATGGTTAAAATTGTTAGTAATGCCCTGCATTATCCCTGTGCAGACATGAACAGCTGCAGAAAAATAGAGCAGCACCTAATTCCAAATGCTTTTTGCTTAGCCTGCTTCCCACCTTTGCTGTTGGCACTGCAGCTGAAAGAGCTGATAATGAGCTCTGGCACTGTGCACACCAGCTCAGACCAGTTGCCCTTAGCTTCTTGGATTAGTAGCCATCACACAGCCAGATGTCAAAAAGCTATGTTTCCCTGTGAGCAAGAACAGCTTATTCTGAAATGGAATCCCTTGGCCGCTCTCCTGTATTTTAGTGCATCCTATAGTCACGTTCATAGTTTCTAACCAGGAAGGAATGCCTCTGGTTCGGGGCCTCAGATTTTCCTCATGCTAGAGTATTCCTCCTTCCCCACCACAATTGCCGCCCGCCCCCCCCCCCCAGCTGTTAATGTGTTCCCAAGTGTTCCATTAGTTGCCCTTAAACCACTAGGCGAAAATGGCAATTTCTGATTTGTAGTAACCCAGCAACAGTTTCTTAGCACTGGTGCCCTCGATCACTGCTGCTTTCCCTGAGGGTAGTTCCATCTTACTCATGAGACTGGCGAGATCTGGGTTTGGCTTTTTTCTTAGGTTCCTCTTCCCTCTATTTAGACCTTTCCTATCCTCTGCTTTTTTGAAAGGCTTACCTGGCCTTCTTACCCTGCACTTTGCTCCTGTTGGGATAGGGAAGGAGAAAGATGCTGTGTTAGATGAGAAGCAACTAAGGAATAGAACTAGTTAAGCAGAAATATTGCCCTACTTCCCTACCCCCACCCTTGCCATTTTAGGGTAAATGTGCAAGTTACTATAGCAACTTACGTTTTCACTTCTCTCAGGCCTGTTGGTGCTGAATGCTAAAAAATTTTAATTCACAGATAATTCAAGGGCCTACACTAAGCCCATTGCCATTGTCTGGATTTATTTTAGCAACAAAAAGACAGGTCCTAGTGCTGATAGAATTTTTGTACCATCGTTTCTGGCTGATGATGAATATAGAAACATATTACAAGGACTGTTCTTTACAAGGTTCTAACAGTCACTTGGAAAGCCTCTTTGTCCCAGTTCTCTAATTGCTCCAGGCATTATTTTAGCTTTGCTTTCTTGCTTTAAGGAAGTTTGACATGTTAAAAATACATGGGGAGTTTTGGCTCTAGTAAGTAAACTGTATACTGTTGGTCTGAGCATTGTGGAGGAATTCTGGTTTAAAGAAGTATTCCTTTGGGCCAGGGATTTAGCTCAGCGGCATAAGCACTAGCCTGGCAAGTGCGAGGTTGTGAGTTCGATCTTGGTACAAAAAAAAAAGTATTCCCCTGTGTTCAAGATATTTTCCATTAGTCTGGGCTTTTCCTGTCTTGGGAATAATAACCAGATGCCTTTTTGGAGACCAGATGGAGGGGAGGGATCAAATTAATGAGGAACTTTGTGGGTGTGAGATAGGGGTCTCCTGACATTGTTCTACTTACTGCTCCACAGGTTTTTTTTTTTTTTTTTTTCACTTCCCTTATCATATGAGAAAAAAAAATTTTTTTTCTTTTTCTCTTTTTTGAGATGGGGTCTTGCTATGCAGTTCAGGCTGGCCTTGAGCTCATGTAGCCCAGGCTGGTCTCGAACTCACAACGATCCTCCCACCTCAGCCTCCTCAGTGCTAGGATTACAGCCGTGAGTCACTACACCCGGCTTTCTCCACAGGTTTTTGAGCCAGTTCCAGATAGCTGAGGGATTCGAGTGGGTGCCCCATGGTTGCCAGCTAGTGACAGACATCGGGTTGAAACTTTGAGTTTCACTCTTGTTTTGGCTACTACTGATCTTTGTCAGTCATCAAGTTTATAGACATTTTATTTTGGTTACTGCTTCTAGGTTTTTGTTTTTTGTTTTTAATGCCTAAAGGAGTTTTCCTTGGAAGCTCAGAATTTTGTTAAATTGCTTTCATCTTACTTTTTGTTACTTACTTATTTGTTTATTTAAAGACACATTCTTGCTGTGCAGTTCAAGTTGGCCTTGAACCCACCTCCTCCCAGGCTGGCATTGAACTTAATGGCACTTCTCCTGCCTCAGCCTCCTGGAATTACAAGCATGTGCCACTATGCCTAGATAGTTTAAATTGCTTCCAGAGGGCTGGGGGGTATAGCTCAGTAGCATAAGTGCCTGCCTGGCAAGTGCAGTGTCATGAGTTCCATCCCTGGTACCTAAATAAATAAAGAAGTAACTCTGGACCTTCTCATGGAATTATATCTTGAATTCTTTTCTATTTTTTAATGTGAGATGAGTTTTGTAAAGCTGCTCATGCTGAACTGATACTTTTAATCCTCTTGCCTTAGCCTGTCACTCCAGAGTTGTGGGATTACAGGTGTGTCCCACCACACCTGGCCCATGTAGTTTTTTTTTTTTTTTAATGTTTATTTTGAATGTCATCCAAGATGGAGTATCTTTGTGCTTTGAAAAATGGGTTTGTTTGTTGGTTGGTTGGTTGGTTGGTTGGTTGGTTTGAGATAGGGTGTGGCTCTGTAGTTGAGGCTGGCCTTGAATTCACTATGTGGCCCAGGCTGTCCTTGAATTTGTAGAGATCCTCCAGCCTCTGCCTCTCAAGAGCTGGGATTATAGATGTGTGCTGCTATGCCTGACTCTGATTCTTTTTTTTTGTACCAGGGATCAAACTCATGACCTTGTGCTTATCAGGCAGATGCTCATGCTACTGAGCTAAATCCTGACCCCTTGATTCTTTGTTTTTAATAGCTGGACATTATTAAAACTATTGCGTGAGGGGCTAGGGATTTAGCTCAGTGGTTCAAGTGCTTACTTGGTTAGCACAAGATTGTGAATTTGATCCTCAATACCAACCCTCTTCCCCCACCAAAACCCCCCCAAAAACAAAAACTATTGCGTGGCTTCTTAAAGTATTGTAAATAGTTCTCCAAGGTGATTACTTTAAGAAGATGCCAGTCTACTGACTGCAGACATACTGATTTATATAAAAATTTACTTAAAAGTTACCCTGATTTATAGTTTATGCCACAGACATTTTGATTCATCCATTGATTTGTAAGTTCTCTAAGAGGAAGAATTATACATTCTTTTAAGACAGGGCCTTTTTTTTTTTTTGGTACCAGGGATCGACCTCATGACATCGCACTTGCCAGGCAAGCGCATATGCCACTGAGCTAAATCCCCAGCCCCCAACTATACATTCTTTAGTTATTCTACCGTTCTTTTGAGCAGTATATGGAAGTTGGCATGTAGAAACTATTTACCAAACAAATATCTGAACTATAATTTCTTCTCCCTTTTTGCTACCCCTTTTCCTTCAAGGCACTTTTTTTTTTAAAGGAAGAAAGGAAAAATCAGTGTAAACTTACCATCCTATGATAATCACTGTTACCAGTTTTTGTTTTTTAAGGTTTTCTAATTTTTTTGTGTGTATGTGTATGTATATGTGTGTGTTTTGTTACATTTTGTTTTTATTTCAGACTGGATCTCATTGTGTAGTTCAAGCTGCCTTCAACTCTATGTGGCCCAGGCTGGTCTTGAACTCACAGCAATCCTGCTGCCTCAGCCTCCTGAGCCCTGGGGTTATAGGTGTGAACCACCATTCCTGGCTATCTCTTCTAAAATTAAATTTAAACAATTTTGTTGTAATATTGGGGATTGAACCTGGGGCCCTGTACATGCTAGGCATGCATTCTACTGTGCTATATCCCCAGCCCTTTATTTTTACCCAAGTAATATATACAGAAAGTTACACCTCACACAATGCAGAAGACTTTGTATGAAATGCAGCTTCATGCTGTCCTTCTCCCCAGAGAGAAACTTCAGTGGCTTCTCTGCTTCAAGACTCCTGCCATGCCCTCTTCGTCTGTGCTGTCCAATGCGAGAGCCAATGACCATGCGTTACGCCTTGGATTAAAAGTGGATAAAATTGACAGATTGAGGCAGGAGGATGAAGCTTCAGGCCAGCCTGGGCAATCTAGTGAGGCCCTGCCTCACAATAAAAGCACGGGTATGATTCAGTGTAAGATCACTTGCCTAACATGTACAAGACCCTTGGTTTAATCCACAGTGTGGTTTAAAAAAAATTAAAAATGGAAACAGTTTCTCAGTCTCACGGCTGTGTTTCACATGCTTCGCAGATGTGGGACAGATGTGGGACAGTACAGATGTGGGACATCTCCATTGTCACAGAAAGTGCTGTGTTGGGTAACAGTAGATAAAAACATTAATTTTATATATATGTCTTGGTTTATGAACTTGAGATAGTTTCAGTTGCTATAATTCTATCTGTTCAGATGTATTTTTGAAAGCCTTTTTTTTTGGGGGGGGGGGGTTCCAGGAATTGATTTTAGGACCTTGCGCTTACCAGGCAGGTGCTGTACCTGTGAGCTACATCCCCTGCTCTTGGAAGCCTTTTTTAAAAAGTCATAATGTCACTTAAAGAGTTCTTAATATCCTCTACTTAGCAACATCTAGTAAAAGCACTAGTCAAAAAATACTCTTAAACAACAAGAAAAATGTGCCAGGTGTCTTAGTCCCATAGACAGGTGAAGACAGTTAAGTGAATACCGTTCTAGATAGTGTCTTGATATCATTACACGTTAAAATACAAAGTTGTTTTGTAACCTGTTGTTGTATTTAATATAGGGGACACTTTCACTACAATAAATTCACATCAACATCATGATCTCTTAAAGGGGTAACAGCTTTTCCCATCCACCTGTTACCCTCTCACACCCCCTTCCACACATCCTTATTTATATCCCTCTCTTGTCTAATAATAGTCTCCCTTCTACTTTCGTGTCTTCTTTTTTAGATCCACATGTTACAAAATGTAGTATTTGACTTTCCTTTGCTTTTTAAACTGTTTACTGTTTTTACATATATTCCAGAGATGATTTTGGAGCATTGTAAACAGTAACTCATCAGATTAAGGTAACAGAAAATCTACAGGGTGTTGCTAAAAAAGCTCTGCCCTTAGGCAGCAAGATAGTTCCCGCAGGAGGGCTGATCTGGGTTGGCTTCCTAGTGCACCACCTATCTGTGTCCCTGCCTGGTGCTGGTGCTGGCACGTAGGCTCTCATAGACAGGAGAACCTGGGGGAATAGCCATTCAGAGGCTGCAGAGCAATGAAGGCTCCAGTGCAGTGGCCAAGAGCGTTGTTTTCCCCTCAAGCCCATTCTGGAAACTGCTTTCCAAAACAAGAAGGCCATGGCTTTGTTCTCAGTGGCTATTTAGCAAATGACCTTCCTCTTTTCCTAAGGCTAAAAAGAAGAATACAGTTCTTTACTGCTGCCTGCAACTTCATTGCGTGTCTCAGCAGAGCTTTGGCAGTACAGCCCACATGTCACTGGTTTGTGTCAGCTTATACCTCAACTCGAAAGTCTCCTGACTGTTTACTCTGAGTCTTAGTTTACTTTTATGCAATGCTAGGGATTGAACCCAGAGCCTTGTCCTTGCTATGCAAGTACAGTACCACTGAGCTGCCTCCTCAGCATCACTGAGATGTAGAAATTTAAGATTTGAAAATAATCATAGACTGTTCTGCTAAGTAAAACATATTTTAACATTAAGTAACAGTTTTTCACCCCATCTGTGGCTTTAATATGTTTTAAACATAAATTACAGTGGAAGCTACCTACCTGTTGGTTGTCATTCATTGACTCATTGCAGTTTAAAAGACACAGAACCTATATCCCCTGTATGATCTACATTTCCTCACCAGACTTCTTTTACTTTGTAATTTTGGATGGTGCATGTACAAGGCTCTGAGTTTGATTCCCTACCACCAAAAACAAAATAATATAACCCATAAAGTATTTGTGGTTTGAAATTACAAGCATACTAGCAAGATAAAATCATTTTAACTGGGGAAAATCAGCTTTTTACCTAGTGTTTGTGACACTGTATAAAATGACCTATTACTGTATGGTTGATTTTATTTATAATTTTATTTATTTTTGTATTTATTTTTGAGATAGTATCTTGCTATATAGTTCAGACTAGCTCAAACTCACTGTGTAGCCCAGGCTGGCTTTGAACTCACAGTGATCCTCCTGCCTCAGCCTCCTGAGTGCTGCAATTACAGGCTTATGTTACCATACCTGGTGGTTGACTGTAATTATTGATGATGTAAAACCTAATCTTGCATTTTACCCTGCCTACATGGAATTTCCAATATAAACAAGAGGGCAACTGGTATGATTGCTTAATTAATGTTTAATCATTTAAAAACCTTGCTGAAGAATTTTTAAGATATAAATTATCTGTCTCTTGAGGTTTCTATAGTAGAGTAAAACCAAGTTGAGAAGCACCCTAAGGGTATGTACAGTTACGTGTATGTTAACACAGCTTTTAGAAATCTATAACCATGTTCTGTATGTTGGGGTGGGGGGTAGCTCGATGATAGAGCATGTGCTTAGTATGTGCAAGGACCTGAGTTCCACTGCCAGCACCTCCCCCCAAAAAGCCACATTTGTTGATTTCTCATAGTAAACTTGGGGGCCAGGACGCAAGATGAAGGAGCCACTTTCGAGTTAGGGAAGTTTGCATTTTAGTTTCAAGGAAGCAAAATTGTGATTGCCTCATCACTTGATTTTTTTCTTTTGGTACTGGGAATTGAACTCAGGACCTTGTACTCACAGGCATGTGCTGTGCTGCTGAGCTACATCCCTGGCCTGCTCCCTCATCACTTTGAAAGCAGATCTTTGATAGAAGTCTTACTAGGTTTGGTGAAAATGCACTTTTTAAAAATTTCTAGAAACGATGAAAAGTCCATTCTGACTTTTGGGGGAAAGAGGATTACAGTTTAGCTCTAGCATGACAAATGAGAAAGAGAATAGCTTCACTTTGCTGGTTGAAATTTGCAAGCACAAACGATTATAATGTGTAAGAGGAGGTATAAAAAGAGCTAGTAAAGTGCTGTCCTCGTGGTCATATGTAAAGCTGGCCTGTAGTGTGCTTGGTGGGCTGCTAGGAATGGCTGTTCCCGCGAACTCGCCATAGGAACAGCCTGAATGTTGGGAAATGCAGTGGGGAATCTGATTTCTCACCTGTCCTCACCCATACCACCACCTTTCCTTCTTCCCAGCTTAGTATGAATCTTATTTCAAGCTTCATAATGCAAAGTGTTAGGTACTCAGTAGATTATAGGAATTCTGTCTTTTATGTTGGGTGATTAATTATAATATTGCTGTCATAGTGTCAATATGAATTTGTCTCATCTTTTCTGACGCATAATTGAACAAGTTTAGTTTCAGACAAGTCTTAAGAGTTCACTATTCATCGGGCTGGGGATTTAGCTCAGCGGCATAAGCGCCTGCCTTGTAAGCAGGCAGTCGTGAGTTCGATCCCTGGTACCGATAAAAACGAAAAAGACAAAAAAAAAAAAAAAAAAAAAAAGAGTTCACTATTCATTTCTTGAGCTGTGTGTAAGCAAATCTTACATATACACCCTTTGGTTTTAGTCTTTTTCTTCTAAGTTAGTGCTCTAGTATTCTTCAGTTTTCTTGGTTTTTGTTGTTATTGTTACTGTTGGTTAATCTCTGGTGCAGAGAAGATGTACAGCTGGAGATACAGCTCAGTGGCATAATGCTTGCCTACCATCTGTGAGACATGAGGCCTGAGCTCCATTCCCAACACTGCAGGGGGAGAGGGAGAGGGGAAAATGTAGATGGGGGGGGATTATTTATGCCTTACTTTAACAGTCTCTTAGACTAGAGTAAACTGGCTGTTTTAGTCTGTGTGTGAGGCTGCTGCTCGGTTCTCACAAGGCCTCGCCGAGTAACTGGAGCTTCTAAGCCCATGCACATGCTCTCTTAGTGTTCTGGCACAAGCGAAGCTAGCCGCTGTGGGTGTGAGGGATCCCTCCAATACCAGCCTTCAAACGTGACCAGTATCTTCTCTTGAGTTTTTTTTTCTTTTTATTCTTGCCAGCTCAGTTTGCCTAAACCTTAGAATTGTCTTAATTTTCAAGTTTTAATTTTGTCAACAAGTACAACTGTCTTTTAAAACATGATGTGAGTTTAGTCATTTTTTTAAAAGATAAATTTAGAAAATTTTTACTTTAAAGAAATATAGTACAGTGTTACCATTTAGCTTTTCAAATGGAACATGAGTCCCTCTAGTGGGGACCTTCTAAGCTTGAGATAGAATGGGCCATAACAGTCTGGATTTTCATGGCACCTGTTTTCAAATCGAGTGTTTTCATTAGTGCTGTGTCCTCTGGGCACTCACTCAGCTGAGATTCAGTAGGATCTTTGAGTTCTCATGAACTAGATAATTGTATAGGCCTGCTTTGGACACAATATGCAGATAAGGACATTCAGCACTTGGAAGATTTTGGTACTGGTGGCTGAGACAGTCCCAGCCCTGCTTTTACTAGCTGTGTGTCTGAAGTGTGTAGCTATGTGATCTTGAAGTGTCTGTATCTTAGTTTTCCCTTTTGTAAAATGGAGACATGGTAAAAATATCTTGCAGTGTTGCTTTAAGTTCTGTAAATAATGTGCAAATGCCTTTGTATTTTTAGTGCTCTGTGATTGGTAGCAGAAGTTGTGAAAATTTCCATAGATAAGTCCGTTACAAGGCATGAGATTTTATTATTTATATAACTTCTTTCTCTTCTCCATGACTTCTTCTTTCTTTCAGTCACCACCAAGTAAGCGAAGAAAATTAGAGAAGCCAAGGAAACCCATTACATTTGTAGTGCTGGAGTCTGTAATGAAAGAGTTATCCCTCAAAGCATCATCTTTGGGCTCTGAGACAGTGGAAGGCATAGTGGTTGTGACAACATGGATAGAAAAAATTCTCACCGACCTGAAGGTACCTGGTGAAGCGCGTCAATGAAGTACTCATCTTCCCTTCTTTTCTTATCGCTTATTTTTTTCTTTTCTCTCTGCCTTTCTCTCTGTCTCTGTCTCTCTCTTTCTCTTTCTCTTTCTCTTTCTCTCTTTTTTCAGGACATTTGGTAAAAAAGGAAAAATGATTTTCTTTTCTTCCACATAGGTTCAGCATAAACGAGTTCCCTGTGGAAAAGAGGAAATTAGCCTTTTCCTGACAGCCATAGAAAACTCCTGGATTCATTTAAGAAGGAAGAAGAGAGAACGAGTGAGACAGCTGCGGGAGGTGCCTCGAGCTCCTGAGGACGTGATTCAGGCCTTGGAGGAGAAAAAGGCCACCTCCAAAGAGTCGGGCAGTAGCCAAGATGTGGCCCTGATCCCCCAGGAGAGTGCCCTGTGTGGCCCTCCTCTGCGGGAAGAAGAGTCTGCCACTGTCGGGGGACACTGCCCAGCCCAGGAGCTGTTTTCCCAGGAGGAAACTCCAGAACCTCTGGAGGATGAAATGAGTGAGGAAAAGGGAGGGACAGAGGTTGTAGAAAGTTGTAAGGGCTCTAGCAATGGAGCCCAGGACCAAGAGGCTGACAAGGGGAAGCACCTCCAAGGAGCAGGTGCACAGTACCTATTCAAGTGCTTGATAAATGTCAAGAAGGAAGTGGATGATGCCTTAGTTGAAATGCACTGGGTCGAGGGCCAGAATAGGGATTTAATGAACCAGCTTTGTACCTACATACGTAACCAAATTTTCAGACTTGTTGCTAGTTAACTCCAAACTTCTTGTACTGTTCAGTGTTTGTATGGGGCTGGGCATAGCTCAGTGCTAAAGCACGTGCTTAGTGTGCAGAAGCCCTGGGTTCAGTTCCCAGCATCCCCCCAAAACAATAGCTTACTTTGGTGTAGCCTGTGGGTGGGAAGGATAATTTCTTCCCTGGCCCACAAGTGTCATTGTGTGGAATTATTTTAAAAAATAGAAACCGATTAATCTACTTACGCCATCCCCTTTGCTGCCATTAGTTTTGTTTTGTTTTTTGTCACAGGGAGTTGTAGAGTTTTTACTGATCATCAGCAATAGCAGAAAGCCATCAATGAACTTGAGGAATTTAAAGCTGAACTGTAGTAGTGGGGCAGGCAGAGAAGCCCAGGAGCCCTGAACATCATTAAGACCAAATTTGCTCAACCTGGGCACATGTGATAATGATTAACTGTGCTCAAGTCCCCAGGAAGGAGCTAGCCCTATGAGAGTCTCAGAGCTAGAAGCCTTAGGGCAGGAAGCAAGGCCCTGGGGACTGCCTGGGACACTGCACATTTCTGATTTGTGGCTTTTTTTTTTTTTTAAATTGAGAATCGAACTCAGGACTTTGTGCTTGCCAGGCAGGCGTTTATGCCACTAAGCTATATCCCCAGTCCTTGTGGCTGTTTTGATGTTGCTTATTTCAGAAGCAGAATTAGGTAAGCAAAACTCCAAGATGTGACTGAGATACAACAGAACACACCCATACCCTCACCTCTAATTTGTCAAAAATACTAGTATTTTGTAGCAGTTTCACTCTGTGTTTTTGTTTTCAGCACGTGAAGTAGAGCTTGTTTCGTTTTTAATATAAGAATTTTCAGAATTGAAAACTGTCGATCCTGTTTGACTCCTGGGGTTGGGGAAACATTATCTTGGCTTTGAGTGGGGAAGTGTTAATGATAGAAATAAGAAAGGGAACAGGGTGTTTTGTGGAGTAGGTAACTGAAGAAATTCTTGCTTGCAGCCAGGCTTGATAGCACACATGTGTAATCCCTGCACTTGATAGTCTGAGGCAGGAGGGTCACTGAGTTTGAGGCCACCCTGGGACAGAAAGTGAATTCTAGGCAAGTCTGGACTAAATAGAGACACCCTGTCTCAGAAAACAAACAAAAAGAGAAAGCCTTGCCTTTTGACAGGTAATTTATTGCTGACCAAATGCTGCTTTTTGTGGCTTTTCTTTTAATCCCGTATATAGTTAGTTTCTAGCATTGAAGAATCCTGAGGCTAGTGTAACCATTTCATCAAAACTGGCCTCTAATTGAGATGGCAGGATGTGGCAAATACCTCTGGAAATGGCTCTAAATCTGCTGTGCTCGACTTTCACAGTTTGATTTGTACCTGCAGCCTAGAATTCTCTTTGGACTGATTCTTTCATCTGTGCCACATGTTAAGACAGAGTTGAGTTAACCTGCACTTTTGAGAGGTGGCTGTTGGTTAGGGCAGAAAGCTCATGTTTGTGGCATACCTTGGTGGCAGCTGTGTGACACCCTTACATAGATGTAAAGAATGTAAACAGTTTGCCTTGCTGTGGTAGCAGAACTGGAGCTGGGGAGGAGCATTTAAACCAGTATTCTTAACCTGGTCAGGAGCCTTGAGCGCATCTGTAAGCCTTCTGGAATTGTTTCTAAAACATGTGTTTGTTTTTTGTTTTTCCCCTCTCCCCTAGGGAGAGTTTGTCACATAGGAATAGAAGTTAGTAACCTACTAAAGATAAAGAACCACTATTCTGATCCAGCCATTTATTTAACAAGATGAAGAAATCAATGGCCAGGGTCACATAGAACCCAGATCTCATCCAGGGCCTTGGATCACCCATGGCCAGTCCCCCTTCCCATGTTGGCCTATGGCCTCCTGTTGTACTTACATAGATGTGTAGCACAGTTATGTAATATGCTGGGTCCAATCCTAGTCTTCCTGACGAAATTGTAGGATCATTTAAAAATGAAAGCCAGAAATGACAGCAAAATCACCTCTGCATAGTCTTAGCCTTCTCTAACACTCAACCACTGTTGGTGTTTGCGTTTCCTTTCAGGCTGTCTGTAGATGGGATTTGAGTGTGTGGAGATAACGTTGGTTGTATTTACGTTGTACAGTCAGTATATTGCACTGTATGTTGTGCATCTTTCCATTTACTGTCTCTTGAGTATTCTTCCTTGTTATGGCAGTATTTACTTATACTCCACCTGTTCAAAATGTCTCTCAGAGGGCTGGGGATATCGCTCAGAAGCATAGCCCCTACCGTGCAAGGGCGAGGTCATGAGTTCAGTCCCTGCTACCAAAAAAAAAAATGTCTTTCAATGTAGTTCATAGATGATACTCAGTGTCTGGAGACAGAAAAGGTGTGTCTGTGTCTATTGTTTTAGTCCTAGGCTTCTGTTTTATTGTCAGAGTTGTTTTTGTAGGTGTTAATGGTCCTAGAATTTTAAAAACATATTACCAAGGGTGGTGTCCAGTCTTTGAAAAACTAGAGCTATGAGTGCCTTCTTTGCATTTTCTTCTTTGAGAATTATTTCTAAAATTATCTCAAGCGAGGACATTGAAAACATAAAAGGACATCTAAAATTATTTTGGTCATTCATATTCTCTATAGTCATATATAGTGTGTGATAGCATACACCTCTGGTATGGGGATATGAGCTTTTTTGTTGTTGTTGTTGTTGTTTTTTTAATTTTTTCCTCAAAGAAATGGGTTGCTGACCAGTATCCATATTGAGTGATACTCTCCCTCAGTGTCTAGAAGTTAAATTCATGTTGGTGAATTGGTGTGAAATCAAATCTTTGTGGTGTTATCTTATATTCTATTCTGGTTCTTGAATTGGCTTCTGATCTCTTGATAGCTAAAACGGGAACCAAAGCCAAGCTTGTTTTCTGAGGCGAACTAAAGCAGCCTTTTGTTCTTTGGACCCTGCTTTGGTTCCATCTGATTGGTTTCTTTACCCTACATCCTTGCTCAGCTGTTCCCACACCAGAGCTTTGCCTCACATCCTGCCAGGACTGGCAGTTCTGTAAGTGAAGATTCAGCTGATTTTAAGGGTTTGTGTTAATTAGTGTATGCTTTAAAAAAATAAAACCATCTTCATTTGACAGAAAGCAAAGCTTACCCGTAAGCAAGCAAATAGCTTCTAAGTTCTTGCAGAAATGATAATATCGCAAGGTGGTCAACAGATGCAAAGCCTGTGGAAAATCTAAGGCCTTTTAAAAGAAGTGCGTTAGTGGATTCGCCAGCATTTCCCTCTCTGGCCACATGGGGGTGCTTTCAGCCCTTTCATCCAGCTCCTTAACTTCAGTGTGGGAATTGATAAAATTGTGCCCATAGTATTTTCTTGGAAGATCCAGTTGTTACACAGATTAAGTATTTTTATATAAATAAGTACATTTTCTATGAAAAGTTTGAAAAATAAATGTAGAAAGAAAAACACTATCCATGGTCTTTTTGTCAAATATAACCCCTTTCTAATTTTTTTTTAATGGTCTCAGTTGAATATTTTTTTTCTATTGGTCTTCATACTCTAGAATATATTTAGTTTGGTTTATTTGTGTTTGGATCAGCTTTTTTATTAATATTTAGCTAATAGGATACTGGAGAGAGACTGTTCAGTGATTTTTTTTTTTTTTTTTTTTTTTGTCTTTTTCATTTTTATCGGTACCAGGGATCGAACTCACGACCACCTACTTGCAAGGCAGGTGCTTATGCTGCCGAGCTAAATCCCCAGGCCCTGTTCAGTGATTTTTAAAATAGTAACTTCTCAAAAGCATTGTTCCAGGTGAAGTAACAGAGCGCCAAGAAAGAATTTTCAGTGTTTTTTTTTTTTTTTTTTTTGACTCTTGTTTTGAGTTTATCTGGTTGTCTACCTAACATGCACATAATGTGTTGTTTAAAAAAAAAATCTGCTTGGGAATGGTGATGCATGCTGGTAATCCCAGCATTCAGGCGGCTGAGGCAGGAGAATTGTTGGAGGTTCAAGGCTAGCCTGGGCTACATACCGAGACCTTGACTCAAGTCCCCACCCCGCCCAGAGTTGGTAAGGGTCCTGTGTTATGTGGGTTAGCTGGGTCTTGTTTCTTATAAGGAATGTGTGTAGAATATGGGTAGTACAAACTCTGGGATTTGTGTGGGCTTAAGAAGGCCCATGTGTCCTTTCTTAGTGACACTGGGTCAGTGTTGTCAGTGATCTCACCCAGCAGATTTGCCCATTAGTGGGAAGAAGATCCAGTTGGAAAGCTAAGACAGGGGTCCTTCAGAAGAAGGAAAGTCTCAGAGATACCACGTGGGGTGCCCCGAGGAAAGGGGTGAAGCTCAGTCATTTGCGGAAAGGAGACGCTCTGGAGGTTTAGGTTGCTGAGCAAAAACCTCGGTCAGGTCTTATCCTATTCATTAATAGAAGGAATTGGCTTTTGCCTCCCTGAGCAGAATTGATGATTTTGAGTTTTTGTGATTATCCCAAATCTGTGCCCTGTGCAAACACCAGCACTGTGTTAGAGAGCCTGCCTGGGTCCTGAGCTGCTCGAAACAGCGTTCCTCACACCCACGGTCCCTGCTGTGCTCACGGAAGACACTGGGTTCCTCTGCTGTGACTCATCCAAATGACTAAAACAGCGGTTTATTTTTTTAATTGCTGGTTGGAACTGCTAATGCCTCCTTTTGGAGGCTGTGCTTTTACCATGGAAAACTCTGTTGTGACTGAGTGGAGACCTTGCCCCTGCAAATGCCCTTCAAGGTGTCATCTATCTGCCAGCCTTAGTCCAAGCAGAAACATCAGGTCATTGTGTTCCCAGGGAAGTGGAGGAGCATGAGTGTGCCTCAGGAGCAGGGATTGGAGCCAGAAGAGATGTGGAGTTGGGCAGGGTTGGCTTGGATCTGATGCTCTGAAGAGGGCAGAGGCTATAGAAATCCAGGATACTTTTCCAGCCACCCTAGGGAAGCAAAACTGGGAGAGAGCACATAGTTCATTGGCCCTATTTCCTCTCCCTCTCCATATATAAGGTACAGCAGTCTCACTAAACTTCCTCGTGTAATGCTGAGGGCCTCTTGCACTCAGGGTGAAGTACGTGAACAGAAAGGGCCTTGCAGCCTGCTTGTGTTATTCTGCTTGGGGTTTCTGATTTCTAGTCAGAAAATACACCAGTGGATTCAAATGAAAAGGTCAAGACTGCAAATAAATAATTGCAGGTATAGAATTTTGTCTGTTGTCCAAGAACAAACCTGGACATCTTTTTAGCAGGGAACTGTCTCACTGAGGTGGTGAGTGGTCTCTGTGTGGCGGCCGAGGGAAGCTCAGAGCAGCTTGGAGTGTTACGGTGCATGTGTGCGGTCTCAGGGCTCAGAGGTTGAGGTGGGATGGCTGAGCGTTCTGGGCCACACAGTGAATTTGAGACCAGCCTAAACTACACAGTGAGATCCTCTTTCTGTCAAAAAACACAAATAAATAAACAAAAAACAAGAGTTTTAAGTTGCTTGTTCTAAGATTGTTCATAGAGTAAAGATGTGATAGGCGTTGGACTCCAGGAATTCAAGACTAGAATACTTTGCTAAATCTCAGAATTTTGTGACAAAAGTGCTGCACTTCAGATGAGAATGTCTTTCAGCCGCATTTGATCCAGCTCTACGGAATTACCTAATATGGGGAAGCTAGAAAATGTATATTTTATCCAGTGTCACACTTTAGCACTTTAAGGTAAGGTTATTTTCCAGCCTGTGACCGATGAGTGGTTTATTAAGTGAAATTACTTAAAATTATTTCTTCATTTATGCCACCGAATCTTTACAGAATCTTGTATTTGGCAAAAGGGCAGATAATTAAGTAGTTAATGAAACCACAAAATAAAATGTCTGGTGAAAGCATATGTTGGCCCAGAGTCAATGTGAAACAACTGATAATTAGGTAATGACTCTTTGACAATACATAATTGTATAATAATGAAAGGGAGGCTTATTTCTTTTTTTAAAAGACAGCTCCAAATATTTCATGTACAGAACACCACCAGACTGATAGGCTTTGTGAGCTTGCCAGAGAAGGCAGCATTTTTAGAAAAGTCAGCGTGTCTTTTCCCAGGTAGGGCTATGAAGCAGTGTGAATCTGGGAAAGCGGAGGCTGCTTGCCGCCTGGTAGACCCTCTCAGGGATGTGGCCCATGAGTCTGGAAGGAGGCCAGGAAATTCCTGGCCAGGCGACTTGGTTGGCACAGCAGCCCATCAGTCCCCTGGGAAATGGTATCTTGTACTGCCACTGTGGTGTCCAAGGAGAGTGTGCTGTTCACAGAGCTAAGCTGAATGGGACCCCTGCAGGACCCAGAAATTTGACATTAGGAAATTCGGTGTCTCTTCTGGGAGAGGGAGAGCTGAGCTCTGGTCTTCCATAGGATCCTCCTTCAGACTTGTGCCAAAGTGCCTGCCCTCAGGCCAAGTGGGCGAGTGTTGTAGGGCTTTAGGGACCAGACTGACTGTCATTTTGGTGCTCTCTGGACCAGCAAAAATCAGGACTTTTTCATTCACATAGAGAAACAGTTCCTCATCTTCTATGCCAGAGCTAGGCAAGAAGGGGAGGAGTTTGGTCCTAACTAAAAGGAAGTAGGTTTTATTCAATTTTTGGTGGTTACTGCCATCCTAAAATATGTGCTGTGCTGTGGATCTTTTAGTTTTTGAGGAAAAGCAAAAATCCAGATTTATGAGAAATGTACCGAACTGAATCTTGACAATGAAATCACTATTAAAAAAGTAAACCATCAATCTGTGGCTGTCTCTACCACGAGTGGGTAGAACTCCTCCACCTTTCTTTCCTAAGTCACTTCAGCTGCTGACACCTTTTCACCTCTTACAGGGCAGGAATCCCAAGGATACTGAGATTTGTTTGTGCTTTTCTTCCACTTCTGCCTGATGTCACCCAATCCTATGACTTTAGCTACTCAAGGCCAGATCTGTCCTGAACTCCTCCCGTTCACTTACCTGGCTGCCCGTGTCTAACTTGGCTGTCACCTGCTTTACCTCTGTTCTCCATCATCACTGACTCAGCAGTCCAGATTAGACATCTCAGGGCTTCTCCCTCCTTTGCCACCCAGGCAAGTCTCCCACTAAATCTTTCCGGTTTCCCCTTAGCAACTAACCCAGGCTGGCTCAACCATTCCCTCCATGGTGACAGGGCCTCGCTGTGGTTAGCACTAATGGCCCACCTAGACTGTAAGGGTGGCTTCAGAAGGAGGCAGCAGGAAGAGCAGATTTAGAGATCTTGGGAAGGATCTCTAAATCCCTCCCAAGGAGGGAGGTAAAGAAACGTGCTTTGGAGAGCTTTTACAACAAAGAACAGGGTGCAAGATGGAGTTGAGACAGGCGGAATTGAGGTCAGTTGCCATGAGATCCTGATAAAATACAGCGCAACTTTTTCCCTCTAGTGAAATTTTACAAAAGTAATACATTTTCTGGGCTGGGGATTTAGCTCAGTGGTTCAAGTGCTTGCCTAGTAAACACGAGGTTGTTAGTTCGACCTCTGGTACAAAAAAAAAAACAACCCTCAAAAACACACTTTAATGATTAAAAAAAATTATTTTAAATAGGCTCTTATGGTGGCTTATACCTTTATAATGCCAGCACTTGGGGAACTGAGGCAGGAGTTCAAGGCCAGCCTGAGCTATATAGGGAGCTCAAGGCAAGCTTGAACTACGTAGAGGCTGTCAAAAAAAAAAAATGCATAAATATTAAAAACCTATAACTTCATTCAAAGTATTTTACATTTTGTTGTCAGTTTTAGTGTTTTTATGCATTTTTTAAAAGAGCAAATGGGTCTTTTCTAATCTTTTTCATTTAGCAATATATTGTGTGTGACACCTTTTCTGATTATAAAACTAATACCTGCTTAAAAAATAAAAACTTGTGAAAATAAAAATTACCAGTGGTCACACTACCTAAAAAAAGACCACTGTCAATATTTTCATGTATTGTCAACCAGGCATGATGGCGCATGCCTGTAATCCCAGCACTCGGGAGGCTGAGGCAGGGGGATTGCTGTGAGGGAGAGGCAGCCTGGGCTGCAAAGTGAATTGAAGGGCAGCCTGAACTGCACAATGAAAACCTGCCTCAAAAAGACCAAAGAGTTTTGTTTTGTTTTTTTTTCATCGGCACCCGGGATCAAACTCACGACCACTTGCCTACAAGGCAGGCCCTTATGCCACTGAGCTAAATCCCCAGCCCGGACCAGAGAGTTTTTTTCATGTATTAACAACCCTGTTTTCTTTATAAGGTATAATATATTATGAATATATTGTGAGCATTGCCCCACTAATTGATTGCCAAAATTTAGACCTGCTAAAAAAAGTTCATTGTTTTAAATAACACTTTGATATAAAATCTATGCATTTTTCTTGTCTTAGGATAAATCTGTGTAAGAATTCCACTGAGGTGGAAGATGTTCTTTTTTAAAGGTTCCCATATATTATTGCATATTTGCTCACTGAAAAGGTTGTGTTTATATTTCCATGAGTTTTGATTTTTACCATACCTTCAATAGTGCTGTGAAGTAAATTATTTATTTATTTATTTTTAAGGAGGAAAGGTTTATTTTAGCACACTGTTTGTAGAGGTTTTAGTCTCAGGTCTGCAGACTCCCAGGCAGGGTGCAGAGGAGAAACAGTTCATGGCAGGCAAAGCCATCAAGGGAAGAGGAAGGCTGAGGCCAGTTTTTAAAAATTGTTTATTGATTGATGAGTTAAGAAATTATTCCACTGTTTGGATTTATTATGGTTCTGGCAATATGTATATTATCTCATATTGTTTCACTTTTATTTTTTATTTTTGTCTTTTTGAGACAGGGTTTTACTATGCAGTTTAGGCTGTCCTTGAGCTCACTTTGTAACCCAAGCTTTTTTTTTCTTCCCAAGCTGGTTTTTTTTTTTTTTTTTTTTTTTATCTTTTTCCTTTTTATCAGTACTGGGGATCAAACTCACGACTGCCTGCTTCCAAGGCAGGCACTTATGCCGCTGAGCTAAACTTCCAGCCCCCCCCCCCCAAGCTGGTTTTGAACTTGCAACCATCTTCCTGCCTCAGCCTCCTGAGATTATAGGTGTGTGCCAACCCGCCCGGTTGTTGTTTACTGTCTTTTTTTTTTTTTTTTTTTTTTGTGCCATGGCCTCACACTGCTGGGCAGGCGCTTATGCTGCTGAGCTAAATTTCTGGCCTTCTGGCTGTTTTTTAAATTATATTTATGTTATGTGTCCACTTTTCTATCCAAGTACTCTTTTCCTACTAACCTGCAAGGCCACATCTTGTCAAGACTTCCCACCATTTTATCATTTTTCTTTTCCTCTTTTGTAAGGATTTAAAAAAATAACAGTTTGGCAATTCTAGAGGTAATCAGATTTATCACACCATACCTTTACATTTTCTTGGTTTGCTTTTACAGGTGGCAAACTCCTTTACCGCTCTAGGGTAGAAAAATGCTTATGTAGCTACTGTTGTTCTACAGTCTGCATGTGACTTTACTAAGGAGCCCTCCATGAATGGCACGCGCTGCCAGGGCCTTTGTGACCAGTGCTTCAGAGCTGTCACAGGGTAACCTCAGCAGGACTGCTGCTCAGCATTAGCATGCCTGCCTGCCTGCGGTACCCCTGATGAGGACAAACAGTGACTCTGGTTAATTATACCCCCAGCCATCAACCTGGAAGTAGGAAGAGAAACAGAAGCTGGCATGTGGCTCCTTAGGTTATGCAGAATGTTCCAGGGACTGCCTAGTAGAGACTCTCCTGGTGCACCCTGGGGCCTCAGTCCGAGATGAGATGGGGGAGTACTTGTGGAGCTGAACCCTGGCTCAGGGTCTGCTCTGCGGCAGGCTGCTGCCTGGACCTCACCAGCTCTCCCAGATAGCATCTGCGACCAACCCAGGTAGCCGGCGACTCTGAGGGACCTGCTCCCACTGCCTGGCTTTTGGGTGTAAGCTTGGGTTGCCGAGCAATAGACCTTAGTCCTTCTTGGGAGACACTGACAGCACTCCCCGTCTGCCGTGGGAGGGGCCTTCCCTCTCACCTCCACCTGTGATGGGCTGGCTGCGTTTGAGTCACAGTGTGTGACTCCGCCTCTCTTGAGTGCCCGGCCCCACTCCCTGGACCTGGGTAATTTTCTCTCCTGAAGCCACCTCTTCTCTCAGAGGACCGTTTGAAGCCCAGCCCGTCCCCTCTGCCTTGTTGCTGGATTCCCTCACTCCACCTGGTTCTGACCTCTGGCATCCTCAGACCCCACCTCTGCAGCTTGGCTCGCCTCTCCGCTTCTCAGAAAAAGCTTGGAGTCTGTGGCTCCTCCCTCTTTGCTTCCAAACTGCATTTCTTCCTTCTTACTCAGTGTCCACGCCCAGGGTGGGTGCCTGGATAAAAATTTGCCCCTTTCCCCCAGTCACCCTTTCAGGCCAGACACAGCAGAAGTGAAGTGTGGCCACCTTCCCAGGCCCTCTCTGGGCTCAGCTCCTCACAGTGGCCAGCGGCAGAATAGTGGCCCGAGGCAGAATAGTGCCCCACCCCCCACCACCTAGCTTCTAGATTCCAAATCTGAGTCTCATCAACTAAGCATTTTTTTGTTTTGTTTTGTTTTTTGGTACCAGGGATTGAAGTTGGGACCTCATGTTTGCCAAGCAGGTGCTGTGCAGCTGAGCTAAATGCCCCTCCAGTGAAGCATTTTTTATGGAGCACCACCTAAGTTAATGATTTTTTGTATCTAACTGGGAGGGGAGGCGCTCACTCTCCATTTTACCCATTTCTATGAGGCTTTCAAGGACTCTGGACCCCACACTGACCTCTTTTCCCCAGGTCAGACTGGTTTTACAGAGTCAAAAGAAAACCAGGCCATTTCTCAACCGTGTGTGGCTTGGTGACTTTCCATGAAACACCTTCTGTTGGGATGTCAGACTAGGTGATCTCAACTCTTTGAGCTTTGACTTTTGTGAGGTAATGGAGAGGGGAAAGTTCCCTGCCTGGCAAGGGGGAACTTGATCATACCTATTTGATGGGTTCCAGAGAGGTCCTCTAATTTATGTGGAGGTGAGGACTCCTGTGGGGACTTCTGGTTCTGGAGAGCCCACTTCACTAACCATTGGGTAGTTGCCCCACAGGGTCTGCCCGACACAGAAATTCACAATCCTGTTTATTTTTACTGGTGGTGTAGACAGCTTCAGCTGACTAATCCCACCTTTAACCCACTTAATTTCTTTCCACCTGTTCTTAGAGAAGTATGACGAATCTGAGAACTAAAATGAACATGTCACTGTCTTTGCTTGGTACTGTGTGACCATACTATGTCTTGGCCTACATCCAGCATGTTGTTAGAGCACAGATTAACCTTTCTCAATGTGCCTGTGGGGATGAATTCTGTCCTGTGACCTTTTCCTCCCCTCTGGCTTACTGAAGATCTCTAGGCCTTGGCTACCAGGATACCTAGCCTGACACATGTTAGGCTCACAGTAAATATTTGTTGCATGCATGTTGTTGGTGTGTCCCTGAGTGTAGCGGTCTTCTGTCCCTTCCTCTTTTTTCCCGTCCCTTCCTATCACTGCACAGCTGACCTTCTCTCTTCAGTCTTGTGTAATTATGCGGGGAAAGTTCCCTAAAGTCACTAGCAAAAGATGAGAAGTCAGACCTGAAAGGCTGGGACATCCTCTGGGATTTAGAGGAGACAGTTGTACATTTAGCTCCCCTCTGCCCCATGTCATCACTCAGGAAGTCTCAGGGAACCTATTTTCCTACAGCTCTTAGAGCTGTACATGTAGTACTCTTTTGAGATGAGGGGCACAGAGGGGCTCAGTGGATTTGAGCTGAGTAGGGGGTACGTAAGACAGGAGGAGGAAGACTGAAAATAGAAACGCTCCTATTATAAGCAAATGCACAGAGGTGGGTGACTCAAGTTTCCTCCTGGCCCAGTGTCTGTAAGTGCACAGAAGCCATTCAGAGACTGCAGGAAAACTGCTTGGGGATGGCTGGGCTTGAGAGTTCCCCAAACCTGTCAAGCTTTGTGCTGAGCCATCAAAACAGCTTCTCTTCCTCTTGAGTGAAAACTCTTGCCAGCTTCTACCCTGGCTCTTCCTCCTTGGGGCAGGAGGCTGGGACTGAAGTGTTAAACAGCACTGTTCACTACCTGGGACATACTCCTTCTCTCCATAGAGGCCTCCCACCTCACTGTCTACTCCTGACCTGAGGGAAACCTTGATTGATGGGAAATTCTATTTGGGCAATTTCAGGTCCTGTCAGAAACCACAGGCTCAGCAAAAGCCTCTCTCTAAACCTTCACTTTTGCCTAACATTCCCAGGCTGCTGTCCCCATATGACCCAAATAAACAGATGATCATGTGAAGCCAGTAAGGCTGTTTGTTTTAAATAGCAAGCATCACCACTAAGCTCTGGAGCAGATGGGGTATTGGGAACAAGGGAGAGGCCACCATTCAAATGTGTGTTCACCTCTTTTTTTTTTAAAGATAGTATGTAGTGCAGGCTAGTCTTGAATTTGTGTAACAAAGGCTAGCTTCAAACTCCCAGAGATCCTCCTGCCTCGGCCTCCTGTGTTGGGATCACAGGCATGCACCAGGGACACCCTACTTTTAGTTCCTGCTTCCTCCCTCTGAAGGAAAAGGTTTTCAGAATACTGCTACTCAGAGAGGTGCCTATTGAATGGTACAGAGCCAGTTCTTGACAAGAATAGTCAGGGAAATTGGATTTCAGACTCTAGAAGAAACTGCCGGGCTGCATGGGTGCCATGACCACCTTAGGAAAGCAGAGACAGGCTGCATGCAGCTCTCTAAACTGAACTTTATGACGCTAACCTCAAGCAAAGTGAAAAGGCATGAGAATCTGCATATACATCATGATGTATGCTGTTTAACTCCCACAAACACACACCTCCTGCCTACCATACTGCTTTTAAGTTTCCCATTTTCTCTTGTGCAGAAGGAGCCAGACCCAGCCACACCAGGACACAAGTGGCAGACAAAGGGAACAGTGTCTGGGCTAGCACCCATCATGCCTTCCTAAAAAAAAAGACCTCAAACCAGGGAGAAAAACTAGGCTATTGTGATCTAATCTCCCTTTGGTCCACTGTCACCATAAGCTAAGTCAGTGGCACCCAGACATTTGTGTTTCTCCCTGCACAGATCCAAATGCTTGGACATTATACATGCCAAGATCAGAGGCCCTGTGTGTGAGGTTTTTGATTTCTGGGATCTTCTTGTGTGGGGTTTCTTTGCCTAGGATGCACTATGATGCCCTCAAAGGAAAGCAGCAGAGCCGACAAGCGATCATCTCTACAGGCTTTCTGGCTCTTCTCCAGCCAGTCCCTGAAATGGGCATACATACCTGTGGGTACAGTGTGGATTGGAGGAACTGGCAGCACGGCCTACCTCAGCAGTCCTCATGAGGGTTTGCTTTGGCATTGTGTAACGGTGAACCTCAGAATCTACAAACTGCTTACATCACCCCATTCCCAGGGTTAACCAAATCTGCGGTCTTAACAGGTCCTCTGGCTCAGGCTGTGACAACAGAACTGCACATGCTCCCGGATGCCCCAAAATATGCTGTCAGGCAGCTGGTATCTGTCACTACCAACGTTGCCAGTGGTGACAGTGTGGCCTCCAGCCAAGAAGCAAAATAGCAGGGCTGGGTTTCAGGCAATTTTTGTTGCCCCATATCACAATGTGTCAAGTGGTCACCCCTTCCTGCCCCGCAGTTTTAGATTCCTCCTTGGCTTTCTTCTGATTCGGGGCTCTGCCTCAGAAGTAACATCACATTATTGCCTAGGGGTCAGAGATAAACGCTCCTCTCCGTGGGGCGGAGAGCGGCCAGAATACTGAATGATCTTAGACAAGTCTCTTCCTGTCTCTGAGCTTCATTTTCCTTATAAGCGAAGGAAGAGGATCTGGGCAGGCCCAACTCAAAGATCTAACTTTCTGGTTGCGCGCCTGGTGTACCCAAACACTATCGCTAGGAAGAGGCGGGCGGGCGTGCCCCAGGAGAGAACGGCCACAGCCAGACGCAGCAGCCCCGCCCCGCCAGAGCCCGCACCCCGCCCGTGGCCTCGGTCGCCCAGCCGCGCGCGCGGGAGGGGGGGGCGGGGGGTTGGCTTCCGCCTCCACGTTGTTGTTCCCGATTTGGGCCACGCCCCCTTGGCCTGGGCTAGGGATGGTTCGCCTTGACCGCCGCCGCCCGGGCCTCAGAGCAAAGGGTGGCCTCTGGGTTAGTACTGTCGGAATCTCTACTCGTATCAAACACAAAGACAAGAATTTAGGGGTAGGGAAGAGAAAGACGTGGTTTTAAATAGGGGGGTGGTAAGCCGTAGAGGGCAGGGTACGGCAGGACTGCGGGATTCCCCTTTAGGTGTCTCACCCTGAGTTCACCCCAGCGGCCCCATCCGAATCTGCTGTACCCTCGCAGAAACTGGCCCTTTAAACAGAAGGCTGGCGGCGCGGGGTGTCCATGTGGAGCCGCTCCATGCCGTGTTGTCCTGCCCTCCCATTGGCCGGCGGCCCGGTGACGTAGCCTAATAGGATGCGAACGCACTGCGGGGGGAGGAACGAAGACAAAACGCGGAACCGGATTACTACTCCGCTCCCTCCCGCCTGATCTATCGCAGCCTGCTGTGGTCAGCTCCGCCCCGGGGCGGATCCCAGAGTAATTGCGACCGCCGAGTGGTTGCGGATTTAGGTCGCGGGTGGGTGGGGAACGGAGGTCTAAGAGTCAGGCCAGTCTCGCCTGTCGTCAAGTTTCCCTGACCTGGAATATCCTTATCTGAACTAACTTAAATTTTTTTGAATTTTCGACCCTTTCTTCTCTCCTGCAGGACAGATTTTGGTTGTGAATGACCCAATCATGCGCCCTTTGCTCAACTAGTGTCTCGCAAACCGAGCGGGGCGAGGCGGGAAAGCGGAAATACATTGAGCAAACCTGGTTTCATAGTCTCCCACCCCCACCCAGGCCACGTGTGCGCGCCCGCGCGCGCCCCCTGGAGTGGGCGGGATCAGCCTGCTCGCGACCCCGCCCCTCCCTCCTCCAGAAGCCAGGGCCCTGCGGGTGGGGGCTCCGGTCCGGGCTTTGGCTGCGGCCCCGGTGTAGTAGCGGGGGCGGCGGCCGGGGGCAGCGCGACTCCTTCCCTTGTTGTGTGTGTCGGTGCCTCCTCGCCATCTTGTTGCAAAGCCCTTTCTTGTCGGCGGGACTCTTGGAGGCCGCTGGGCGGGAGACATCAGAAGAGAGCAAGAGAGGGAGGGGAAGGAGGGAGGCAGTGCCGCCTTTTTTTTTTGCATCGATTTTTCAAATTTGCAAATTTATATTTTGCAAATATTTTGGGAGACATTGATTTTCCTGCCCGTGCTCTCCCCGTTCTTTCCTGTGGAGTGCGCTGCGCCGCCCAGTCCTGTCGCCCCCCGGAGGTGATCCCTCCCTCCTGCCCGCCCGCCAGCCTGACCTGTGCCTGGCTCGCGGGCCGCATCTTCGGCCCCGGCGCGCCCCCGGCCGCTCTCGGCGCGATGAGCATAGAGACGCTACTGGAGGCGGCTCGCTTCCTGGAATGGCAAGCGCAGCAACAACAGAGAGCACGTGGTGAGCGGCCGGGCTGGGCCCCTGGGGCACGGGGGAAGGGGAGGTGAGTGACCCTGGGCCACAGACCCACGCGAGACTGCAGGCAGACCCTCTTCCCTGGCAGCCGAGAAACTGGGCTGTGCACAGCCCTCTGAAAGAGCCGCCGCCCGGGAGGAGTGATGTGGGCAGTTAAAATAATTAATGAATTCATTAACATGCAGCGAGAGACCCGGCTTCTGCCGGCAAACCCCGGCTGCTTAGTACCCCTGTGCACCTTCCACTGGGGGCTTCTTTCGCGTGGGCCGGCAGCGCCCTCGGTCGCTTTGAAGAGCCGGGGAGTGGGATGGAAGATGGTGTTGCGTGGGGGAGGCAGACCCGCGTGCGTGTGTGCACAGGGAATGCGTGAAGGGTGCCTCGGGGAGAACGGATGCACGGACGTGTACACGGACGTGTGTACAGCACACGAGTGGGCGTGTGTGTAACAGTGGGGGTGGGGATTACTCTACGCGGAACAGTTCTCCGGCTTCCCCTGCCCTGGCGGGAGGGTTCGGGGGGCGCTCCCGGCAGATCTACGCCCCGCTTGGGGAGGAGGCGGCCTTTGCAGAATGAAATGACATCGCGTGTCTTATGATCCTGGCCAGCCCCGCCTGACCCCGCCTCCCAGGGCTGGGTTGGGTCGCGCATCAGGGGTTTGGGTGAAAGCCGGGCAGATTGGTGTCTGCAAAAAGGCCCGCGAATCACTGGGGACAGCCTCTGGGGACCCCTCCCAGATCCCCGCTTTAGCCGGTGTGGAATGTGGCGTGTCTGTGCGTTCCAAACCCGCTCTGGGCTGGAATGTTGCGTGTGCATGCGTTCTAAGCCAGTTGGTTACACCAGGTGATGACGTGGACGGGCCCCGCCTCCGACCACGTGCACGGGGGACACTCCCGCAGGGGACGGCTTTGCCGGGCCCCTCCTCGAAGCCTAGCGCTTGCCTGGAGGCGGGGCTTGGGCGGGGCTGGTGAGGGGCTTTACCTGGGATTGGGCCTTGGCCGCTGGGCCTCTCCTAGGGAGAGGCTTTGCGCTGGGAAAGAAGAGCTGCACCCGCCTTTGGTGGTCATCTGAATCTCCAGTATTTAATCCTGAGGCAAGGAAAAACGACAGGGTCGCAGGGTGATAGACATACAGAGTTTACATCTTTCCACTAAACCCCCAAAACATGCTCACCAGGCCTTCCCGGCATTGTCCCTTATCACGCAGTGGAATGAGCTGGGCTGAAGAGGAGCAAACTTCGGCGCTCCCGTATGAGCATTTTAATGCTACCTAACCCCGTACGCCCTTGAGAGTGGTCCTTAGATTCAGGGTGCTGCAGAAAGGAGGGCTGAGGGGAAACACCTGCTTTTCTGTGTTGTGAGGGCCTTAGCCTTGTCCCAGTTGTGTGCAGTTTCTGTGCACTCTTGTGTTTGCTTACAACCCACCCTCTAAACCCCTCGGCGCGTCGGTTGTGGTAGAGAGTGCTTCGTCCTTCTTTCCTTTCTCTCTGCCTATTGTTGCTTCAGTGATGAGTCATGCAGGAGGTAGTAGTGTGTGTTATGAGCGCGCGCGAGCGCGCGCCTGCAGCTTTTGCGGCGGCGGCGGCGGCGGCTGCTGCTGCTGCTGCTGCTGCTGCTGCGGCTGCGGCTGCTGCCGCCACCACAGCAGCGGGCAGCGGGCGGGGAGGAGTGGAGTGGAGCAGGGGCAGCCGGCAAGGGCGGGAGCAGTCTGCAGGCCTAGTAGTACCGACCGACTGGGGGTTTCAAGGTCAAGAGTCACTGGAAAAATTCAAGACCTAGATGCTAGGGTTTTATAGAATTAATGGGCTAGGACATCTGCCTACACACCCCTCCCCCCACCCTTGGGTTCCAGAGTGGGGCCAAGCAGTGAGCAGCACTAGCTGTGACCCGTAATATCCTGTGTGGAGGTATTATTGTGCGCAAGGTTTGGAGAGACTAAGTCACCTGCTGCCACTATCGACACAATTAAAAAGTGCCGGTGTGACCCACCTGTGCTCTAGGTGAACAAGACTGACTCTGCCCTTGCCTCCAAGGGAGCCTTCATGGTTTCACCCTCCCCTAACCTGAACCCTGTATGGCCTCACTGGGGAGGGGAGAAGACCCCCACTGTCAGGTCTCTTGCCCTTGTCCCATTTAAGGTAGAAGGGGATGGATGATGTATGCAGCTCTACCCAGAAACTGCGAAAACTTCTTTCCCAAGAAGTCGCAGAACCCTACCCCACCTCCAGATGCGGAGAATGGGGACCCAGCAAGTTTTTCTGCTCAGTGGGCTTCTTGGTGCTGGGTCAGGGGGTTTTACGGGATCAGGCGGCGCTGGAAAGCCAAAACTTCAAGAATTCATGTATCCAGGTGGCCAGACATCTTCCAGGCAGTTGAATCTTAAGGAGTCAGGCTTTTTGCCCCTTAAAGTTCAGTCCTCTGTCCTGAAGGAAGAATGGAGGCAGTGAGAGTGGGAAGTGAACCTGCTGACCAGAACTGTCTTCCTAGGCTATTTACTTGATGACCACCTCTGAACAGGAATCTTCTTGGCCATTCTACCTTTCAACCTCAAGGGCAGTTTTCCTGGCCCAGACCAGACAGTTCGCTTACATAATGAACCCGAGAATGTGTGTGCCTGTGTGAAAAAGGAAGAAAGGACAGGGCCATCCTGGTGCTCAGCAGGACTTGGCCTCAGCCCAGCATTCATGGAAGTGACTTGAATTGGACCCTAACTGGAGAGAGCTGGCCAGGTTATCCAGTGCCCTGACCACATCCTGTCCTGCACCTGCTGATATGCAAAGCTTCTTTTTACACATGTAGAAGGGGACAGTTTCTGTGTACTTTTTGGGGTCACCCAGTGTGGACCCCTCAACCACCAACCGTGTGCTTGCTGTTTTGCTGGACCACAGTAGCGTGGCAAAGTTTCAGACCTCAATGCCAGGTCTGTAACTGGACTGGAACCTCGGGCCTTGGGACACCTTGGAGGCTGCAGCGTCTGGGTAGGGCCAGGCGAGAGTATCCCCATGCCTGTGTGTGTGTAAGAAGGGCTTTAAAGAGTCTCAACACCGGCTGCTCCTGGAAGAGGCCCCACCACTTCAGTGTGCTGCAGGTGCACTGGAGAGGTCCCTATGGGGTGGGGAAGCATCGGGAAGCTCTGACAACTGGCTGTGGCCTAGGGCAGCCTTTTCAAGGTTTGTCACACAGAGCCAGGTATGGTGGAGCTTGGCCATTTACCTGAGTCTTTTCTGGCCGCTCTACTGTAAATCTGCCTGGCTTTCTGGAAGGGAGAGGAGGGGAGGAGTTTGTCATCTTCTAGGTGAACTTTAGGCTTGCTTTGAAATAGGCTTTGCCTTCAGTTTGAGTTCCTTCTGCCAGTGGAGCACTTGCCCAAGATACTGAGTTTGTAAGTCAAAGGAGTGGGGGTGGGAGCTGTGTGGCGCCTTGTCCTGGGAAAATGGACCATCCATAGCCCTTGCTGGGCTTGACAGGGCCCGACTGGAACTCATCAGGCTTCTTTGCCACTATTTTGGGGGAGGCTACAGAGCTTCAAGTTGGTTTTCTCTGGTGCTGTAATAAACCAGTGCTGGTGGGAGAGGTCTGGGAGAACAAGGTCTTCCCTCATTGGCACAGGCCTGTGCTGGCCTGGCAGCTCCTTCTCCTGAAGGGCAGGGGACATAGGAAGAGGCCCCCTGACTGACAACCCTGAGCCCCAGCTGCTGGGAAACCTCTGAGCACTTCCCTTCAACTTCCTCCTTGGCCTCTTCCCTTCCCCGGGGAGGGGCAAGGCCAGCAGGCCTGTCCTGCTGTGGAGCTGTTGATTGGCCAGGGGGCCCTAGCTGCTGAGCCTGTAAGACTGTGTGTATGGGGGGGGGGGTGTGCACCCCTCCTCCCTAGGGAGGACTTGCACAGTGGAGTGTTTGGGGCGTGGCTGCCAGCCAGTGCTGTCAGCTGTGTTAGGTCAGTGGCTGATGAGGGCGGAAGAGGGCTGGGCTGGGGCTGGGGATTTAGCTCAGCGGCATAGGCACCTGCCTTGCAAGCAGGTGGTCATGAGTGGTCATGAGTGGTCATGAGTTCGATCCCCCGGTACTGATTAAAAAAAAAAAAGAGGGCTGGGCTGGTTGTCCAACTCTTCCTAGCCTTGGGGGTGGCCCTGAGCAGGGACAAGCAGAAAACCCAACAGTGGGGTTGAGGGATGAGTAGGGAACTGTGGGTGAGGGGTCCTCTCACCTTCCTGCCGGGATACGGAAGGAAGTGCTGGGTGAAGGTGGCCTGAGTCCATGGTTTTTTGCATGGTCTCTGCTAGAGAGCCCAGCTTGCCTTCTTTCTCACTTTTCCTGGTGGCAGTATTGGGAATAGGGTTTGGGAGGAGAGAAATGAATCCCAACACGAGCAGGGGCAAGTGTGTTTATTAAACAGTCCTTGAGGGAATCAGAGGTCTTAAATTAAGATTCAGTGTAGGACAGCCTGGGCTGCAAAGTGAGTTGAAGGCCAGCCTGAACTGAGTAGGAAGATCCCATCTCAGAAAGCCCCCTGCCCCCCCAAAAGGCCGATTCAGCCTAGGAGTCAAGAAATTTTGAGCCATTTCCTCATGAAGAGAAGGTAATTTCCTACCCTGCCTGTGACATGGGGCTCTTGTGGGGATCCAGGGTCATGGTGATATAGCAAGTACAGAGCATTTGGCAAGGTGTCAGGAGACTCGTTGTGACTCTCAATAAATGACTTGGGCCCTCTTAGGTTATTTATTGCATCTGAAATGAAGGCACTGCCTGCCCTATAGAAGGTTCTTGGTACCTGTGGTGGAAGGCCTTCCACAGGAGCTGTGACCTGTCAGTACCCCCACAGTGGCTTCTGCACCCTTTCAGGTCTGGCCTCTGTCCAGCTCTCCATTCCTTATCTGTCCTTCTGGGCTCCTCAGCCCCCTTGCTCCTGACTTGCACACATCAGTCCTCTCTCATTGCTCCTGCCCTGCCGTTCTATGGCTCCCTGTCCTTCCTCCAGCCTGGCCTGGGGTCCCCTGGTGTGTTTTGTTCTACCCTGCCCTGGGCTGTGAGCTCCCTGTTGGCAGGAGCCAGGCCTGCTTTCTTTGTGCACTGCTTTCTTGGATGTGACCTTACCCGGAGCCTGGCTAGATACAGTGGCACGTGTGTGCCATCTCCCTGGGCAGGGGTTCACTGAGCACTGACTAAGATAGGGTAAGAGGATATCTCAGGGTCAGAGAAGGTAAAGCAGAGGCCCAGGCTTGTTAGCCCCCCTGAGAGTCCCCTCCTATATTCTCTCTGCATAGAGGAACAGGAGCGACTTCGTTTGGAGAGGGAGCGGGAGCAGGAGCAGAAGAAGGCCAGGCTGGCACATGCCCTGCCTGTGGAAGAACCCCGAATTGAGGCACCACCCCTGCCCCTGTCTCCCCCTGCACCCCCACCAGCACCCCCACCACTTGCCACCCCCACCCCATTGACTGTCATTCCTATACCTGTAGTGACCAACTCTCCCCAGCCTCTGCCCCCACCTCCACCACTGCCCCCTGCAGCTCAGCCTCTGCCCCTGGCACCTCGGCAGCCTACCCTGGTCAGCACCCCCGGACTCAGCATTAAGGAGCCTGCCCCGCTGCCTGCCAGGCCTCAGGTGCCCACTCCTGCTCCCCTCCTGCCAGACTCCAAGACCACCGTTGCTCCCACTGGTAGCCCCAAGCCTTTGCAGCCCCTCCCCACGCCCATCCTGACCATAGCACCGCACCCCGGAGTCCAGCCTCAGCTGGCCCCCCAGCAGCCACCCCCGCCTACGCTTGGGACCCTGAAGTTGGCACCGGCTGAAGAAGTCAAATCCAGCGAACAGAAGAAGAGGCCTGGGGGGTGAGTGGGACGCGGCAGAGTCGGGGCTGGTGGGATGGAGAAGAAAACTTGTCTACACCCTGGGCTGTGTGTACCTGGGTCTCCTGCCCCGCCCAGGAGCGCCTCTTCTGTCTGGACACTGTCAGGCTGCCTGTTTCTCTTCTGGGAATGAATGGCCATTGCTCTGTTTTCAGGCTTCTGTCACCTCTGACCCCTCCTGCCTGCTCACTGCTCCCACCCCGCCCCCACCCTGCCTTTGGGCAGAGAATTGGACTATGGGCCTTTCGGATAGGGGGCTTCTGCGTCAGTCCCAGGTCACTTTGTGTCTTTAGAGTTGGGTTTAGGGTTACAGAGGCTGTGGATTATTAGTGATGCCCTGCAAGGGGTAAACAAGGCTTTGAACAGGGCCAACATAACACCTCCCTCTGCTGCTGGCAGACAGAATGTTGGAGACTTTCTAAAAGCCTGTGGCATTGGGGCGGGGGTGGCAATGGGGGTCAGGAAGGCTGCCTAGTCGGGCCCTTCCTGAGCCTCCTGTCTGTCTGGGTTTCAGGATCGGAACCAGAGAAGTCCACAACAAATTGGAGAAAAACAGGTGTGTGTGCGTGCGTGTGTGACTCTGGGCCCACCCTCCCGTTCCAGCGCTCCCCCTGCCCTTTGGTCCCCAAGGCTCCCCTGGACCTTCCCTCCCGCCGCCCGCCCCTGCCTTCCTGGCTGCTAGCTGACCAGCGCTCACCCCCTCTCCCCAGGAGGGCCCATTTGAAGGAATGCTTTGAGACCCTGAAGCGCAACATCCCCAATGTGGACGACAAGAAGACCTCGAATCTGAGCGTGCTGCGGACGGCGCTGCGGTACATCCAGGTATGGGGGAGGGGAGCAGCGGAGGGCGGTGCCGAGCCGGCCGCTGCGCCTGCTTCCTCTAGGCTGCACAGTCCTTCCCTCCCGCAGCTCCACCCCGCCCTCCCGCAGTCGCCGGCTCCCCCGCCCGCCTCCACGCGGGCGCTGAGCACATGGCCGAGCTGACGTCAGTGGGGCTCCCAGCCCAGGAGGGGGCGGGCGGAAGGGCGCGCGCGTGCGCGGGAGGGCGGTTGCCGCGCTCGGGTTCCCGGTCTTCCCTTCCCCCGCGCGGCGTGTCCACGCGGGCCTTTGCGCCCGTGAGACTCAGAGGCTGTTGCTGTGGGTTTAGGGCAACCCAGGCGGCTGCCGCCCGATCTCGCCTTGCTAGGGTTTGCATTCAGCGGGTGAGGAGTGCAGCGGGCGGCGCGCCCGGCGCCTCCCCGCCCACAGTGCCTGGGCGGGAACCGGATTTGGCCCAGTGGCTAGTAGAGGGGGGGTTGGGTGTGGCCTCACGTTCATACTGCGACTCGCAGGTTAAGCCCCTACTTTTACTCCTAAAGGATTAAGAGCCTTTCGGTGCGCGATTAACGTGCTGTGACCCCAAGTTTGGGAGATGGGGATTGCGGCGGTGTGACAGCACTGTCACTGAATCTTAAAACACGTTCCTTCCGCTTGGCTTAATTAAAGGAGTCCCCTTTCTTAGGGAACCCACCTGGCTATGTCTCCTCCCGTTGGGCTCTGGCTCTGCGCTGCAGATGGAGGAGCTGCCAGATAAAACAGTTGCCATGACGGCCCCGAGTTTCGGTTTCCCTGGAAACTGCGGAGGGCTCCGCGTGCCGGGGAGCCCGTAGGGGGAGGGGAAGGGCAGTCACGCTTGGCTTCCTCGGGCGCCTGGGAGCGGTTAGGGCAATGGGAGGGACTTAGGGCTTCCAGCCGCGTTGGGCGGGGCCAGCATGGGTTGGGTGTGCCTCAGCCCACTTGGGAAGCTTTGGGGGGCTGGGCGGTGTCACAGCCCCAGTGGGAGGAGTGGAGTGGTAAGGACAGTCAATGGTGTGCTCCCACACCCCCTTCACTTCCACAGCCAAGGTCATAGCCTTAAAGTAACGAGCCTAACTTGCTGGCGGTACTGCTTCGCTGCGCCAGCCAGCGGCTCCTTCCACGCCTCCCGCAAGCGCGCGCCTTTGCGCCCGCCCTCCTGGGCCGGGGAAAGGGGCCTGGCTCGCCTCCAGGTAGCTTCCCGGCAGCACGAAGGGCGGAGTCAGGTGTGTGGATTGGCTTAGCTGAGCGTAGGGCGGGGCTTCTGGGCCCTCAGAGGGTGCGGTGGGGCGAGTGACGCAGCAAAGCCGGTCCGCGTGGGTGCGCGCGTGCTCCGAGAGGGGCGGGACACCCCACCCCACCCCCCGCCGTGACCCTGGTTCGGGTTGCAAAAGGTTTCCGCAAAGCTAAGAAAGAAGAAGGGCCGGCAGCTTGTTTTCAAGATATTCTTGCAGAGTTGAGGCTTAGATGAAATTTTCTTCTCTTTAGACACACAGCCTCATCAAATCGCTGTGGATGTGCTGTGACATTTTTGTTATGCATATTAGTTTCCTCTTGTATTTGATGATTTGAAATAGGAAAAATTTTGCCATAGAGACGTTAGGATTGGGATTTTTCATATAAGTAGTTTGCAGCAGTTTGAACATGAACTTAATAGTAATTACTGAGAAGAAGAAAGGATGAAATGCCAGGTTCCTCTATATAGTTGCCTGCTTGGAGAGAGGACCCCTGCGTAACGCGTGGATTTGAAAATCAGAAACAGATCCTGTGGGAGCAGCAGAGCAGGACTAGGCCTGATCTGAGTAGGGAGTGGCAGTGATCCCTGGCTGTCCTAAGGAATGCTTGTTTAGGTGCTGGTAATGAGAGCAGAAACAGAGGAAAACTCAGAAGACTTGTAATCCTCCACTTACCAACACTCATCGGTTTATTCTTTCAAGTATTTTTAGCTAGGCTGTAGGTGTGCTTCTCCTGGGCTGTGCCAGGGAGCCCAATAGAGCTAGGAGTGGCAGAATCTGTTTTGGAGCCAGGTGTGGTGGTGCACACCCATAATCTCAGCACTCAGGAGGCTGAGGCAGGAGAATGGCCGTTAGTTAGAGGCCAGCCTGAATTACCTAGGGGAAAAAAATGGTTTTGGGAATTTAGGGAAGTTGTTGAGGAAAGGATTTTTAAAATGAAGCCTGTAGAGTAAGTTAGGATGAATGAAGCAAAGTAAAAGACAGAGCTCTGCACAGGCCAGAGTTTTTCTAGCAGGCAGGAAGATAATGTATTTTTGAAAGTACAAGGTGGTTAGAAGCATTGCCATGCAGAGATAGGGAATGGCAGGTGTTAGGTGAGAGTCAAAAGTTAGTCCTGGAGATAACAGTGCAGACTGAGGACATTGGTAGTGAGTTGAGGAGGCTGTGGGAAGGTAGTGGTCCTCAGCTAGACTGTATAGCCTTGTTTGGAAGTGGTAAAGAACTTGAAGCAAGCCCTGGTGAAGTGGAAAGACAGGCAGAACTCAGGTAGGCTCGCTCTATGAGTAAAGCATGTGCCTAGCTCATGTGAGGCCTGAGTTTGAACTCCAGCACCACATAAAATAAAAAAAAACCCAAAACAGAGCAGAGTGGACTAAAGTTAGGCCCCTGTGGGGACTTTTCTGTAGGGCTGTGGGGAACTGGACTAGGTGAGAAGAGGTTATGGCCCCTGACACAGAAGTGTAGCTTCACTGCAAGTGGGCAGAGATCAGGCTGGTACTTCCAGCCCCATACCACTTGCTTTAAGTGAGGGCTGAGTCATGGGCCTGGCGCTGATATCACCTCATCTGATGTCATGCTGAGCTCTCCAAGGCACAGCCAGCTAGCAGGCACACAGGTACATGTGTGTAAGGCAAAGGAAAGTCTTTCCTGCTCTTTCTAGTAGAAATAAGAAGAAACAGGTGAAACAACACCAGGATGGTGGAAGAGGCTGTGTGTGGTCTTGGATTGGTGTCACATGTCAGAGCCAGTCTAGCTCATGGCTGTGTCTGGTTGTGTCACAGGTGTGATGGTTTGAGGTATCTGTCACTGGTAAGGTCAGAAATACTGGAGAAGCCTGGGCAGTGGGCCTGGCAGGTGGTCAGAATTGAAACTGTTGCCCACTCAAGAAAAGCTGTAAAGGAAGGAAGAAAAAAAAAAAGAAAAGGTGCTACACAATAGCAAAACTGCCTTTATCCAGAGGGACAGGTTTTCAGAGTTCCTGTGATCCTTGGAAGGAGACACAGCACCTAGCACACAGGCCAGGAAGAGGCACACTGCAGTGCTGGTCACTGCTAGGGCTAGGGGGATGGACTGACTAGAGTAGTCTTTACCTTTACTGTAGGGTGGGCAAGGACGGTGTGTTGACTTGGACAGACTGCAAACATGCACAGGACTCAGTTCACTGGTTGCATGAGCCAGTGTCTGACTAAGCCCCAAGTCTCCTGTTTCATGCCCAACTGTGTGGTATAAACAACTGGTCGTGGTATTGCATGCCTGTAGTCCCAGCACTTGGGAGGCTGAGGCAGGAAGATTGTGGCAAGTTCAAGACCAGCCTTGGCTAGGAAATGAGTTCTAGGCCATCCTGAACTGCACAATGATTTTTGGTCTCGAAAAGACCCCCCCCCCAAAAAAAAAAAAAGTATAGTTTAGGTGCTAAGAAGTGCTCTGAGGCAGCTGGCTGAGGAAAGACTGAGGTGGCAGCCAGGTGTGGTGTTGGAGCAGGAGCATTTGAGGCCCATGGATAAAGAAGGGAGGATCCAAGTGTGAGCATCCTGGAAGACGGTTCCAAGAGAAAAATTAAGCCAAGCTGGAGTTCAGGATGAGCAGGGCCCATGGGTTTTGCATCTGGACGTGACTGATTGGCTTAGAAGCTGGGTGCTGGGGATAGGTTGAGATAAGGCCGCCTGTCAGGTGGACATAGCAGTCCCACATGCCTCCGTGGAGAGCTGCGCACAGGAGGTCTGGGAGATGTAAAGCGTGAGGCTCATCAAGTGTCAGTCAGGACTTTTGTGTGGAGGGGAGCCCAGAGGGCCACTGGAGCTGCTGCTGATCCTCTCAGAACCCAGGACGATGCTGCAGCGTGAGATACCTGGCACTCGACATCTGGCTGCCTGATTGGTGGAAGGTTGTCCAGACTGCCCTATCTTGTCTGTTTGTCTTCTTATTTTTTTGGTACCAGGGATTGAATTCATGACCTTGCACTTGACCAGGTAGGTGCTTATGCCACTGAGCTAAATCCCTGGCCGGCCCTTCTTTTGGTTTTTTGAGACAGGGTCTTGCTGTTTGTTTTGGTTGTTTGTTTTGTTTTTTTTTGTATTTTTCCTTTTTATCAGTACCGGGGATCAAACTCACGACTGCCTGCTTCCAAGGCAGGCGCTTATTCCACTGAGCTAAACCTCCAGCCCCAGGTCTTGCTATTTGGTCCAGGCTGCCCCTGAACTCACTGTGTAGCCCAGGCTGCCCTTGAACTTGTGGCAGTCGCCCTGTTTCAGCCTCCTGAGGGCTGAGATTATAGGTCTGTGCCACCATGCCTGGCCCTCTTGTGTTGTTGGTGAAGTGAGTGACACTGGCATGGCGGGATGGGCTGACCTGAAACTTGTGGATAGACAGAAGCCTCTCCAGGGTGCTGAGTCAGTGGGTGCTGTTCAGCTAATTTCTTCGTGGACATTGGGCCACATTCCACAATTGGGAGTTCATACTGGGGAGTCTGTGGGAAGGTGCTGGGTAGGGAGCCACGTGTTACCATGTAGTTGAGAGGTAGTGCAGGTGGGTGCTGTGGGAAGTATCCTGGATGTCAGAGCAGGGTACAGAGCCAACAGCCCCTGGGAAGGAGATGGAGGCAGGCCACGGAGCAGAGAGGAGGAACGGATGCTGTCCCAGAGTTGGGTGGGTCATCTTCCACTGTGATGTTCTGACCAGAGGGACAGGTGAGGAGTTAGGTGAGGGAAGGACAGAGTTATTTGGGCTCTTGGGAGAGGAGGTTCCAGGGAAGGATGCCTGGGACACTGGTGGAATGCAGTGGATGGTGGGAGAGGCCTCGGATGTGAGGAGGAGAGATAGGGCGGTCTCTTCCCTTGAGGTGGTGAAGGCTTTGGGACCAAGACAAAGTATGGCAGGCTGCACTCTGTATTTGAATCAGGGCTAGCTTGGCTCTGCACCTGCCTAAAAGTCCTCTGTGCCTCGGGTGCTGGGCCTCATTGGGCAGAGCTGTGGGGCAGGAAGCAGCCATCATCTCTAGCCGTCTGTTTTGGGAGTCCTGTCATCCCTTGGCCTGGTGATTGCACACTGATCTGTGGAGGCTGGCAGGTAGGGGCGGGATTTGAGGTCACAGCTGCTGCTCATAGTGTTCTCTGGTCCCTGCCCTGTCCCTTAGTCTCTGAAGAGAAAGGAGAAGGAGTATGAGCACGAGATGGAGCGGCTGGCACGGGAGAAGATTGCCACACAGCAGCGGCTGGCAGAGCTCAAGCATGAGCTGAGCCAGTGGATGGACGTGCTAGAGATTGACCGTGTGCTCCGGCAGACGGGCCAGCCTGAGGACGACCAGGCCTCCACCTCGACAGCCTCTGGTGAGCCCCGGCCCATCCCCTCTTCCACCACCCTCAGATACTCTCTCTGCTACAGATTTTGTCCCTTGGCCTTTGTCCCTTACCTAGGTTTTCGCCTGCTAGAAAATATATCCCCTGTCCAGCTCCATTGTATCCCCAACCCCCACCAGCATCTGTTTCCCAAACCTTTCTGACCTGCGTCCTGGCCCATGTTCCCCACAGAAGGTGAGGACAACATAGACGAGGATATGGAGGAGGACCGGGCAGGCCTAGGCCCATCTAAGCTGAGCCATCGCCCCCAGCCGGAGCTGCTGAAGTCTGCCCTGCCTCCCCCCAGCACCGCCCCAACGCCCTTGCCTCCCCACTCACACCCGCACTCGCATTCTCACCCAGTGGCGCTGTCTCCTGCCCATCTGCCCGTGCAGCCGCAGCCTCCACAGCAGAAGACCCCTCTGCCAGCTCCTCCTCCCCCACCAGCCACCCCAGCCCAGACACTGGTACCAGCTCCTGCTCATCTGGTGGCCGCAGCCGGGGGTGGCTCCACGGTCATTGCTCACACGGCCACCACGCACGCCTCAGTCATCCAGACTGTGAACCATGTTCTGCAGGGGCCGGGGGGCAAGCACATCGCCCACATCGCCCCCTCGGCCCCCAGCCCTGCTGTGCAGCTGGCACCTGCCACGCCCCCCATTGGCCATATCACAGTACATCCTGCCACCCTCAACCATGTGGCCCACCTTGGCTCACAGCTGCCCCTGTACCCACAGCCCGTGGCAGTGAGCCAGCCCGTGGCTGTGAGCCACATTGCCCACACACTCTCACACCAGCAAGTGAACGGCACAGCAGGGCTGGGGCCCCCAGCCACAGTCATGGCAAAGCCAGCTGTGGGGGCCCAGGTGGTGCACCACCCCCAGCTGGTAGGCCAGACAGTGCTCAACCCTGTGACCATGGTCACTATGCCCTCCTTTCCAGTCAGCACGCTCAAGCTGGCTTGAGGATGAGGCCACTCAGAGGCCCCTAGTGGGGGCAGGGAGGGGCATCTGTTCCCCACTCTCCCACCCACCAGCTCCACACATTCCAGCCAGGCCCATGCCCGCCCCACCCCCAGGCCTCCTAGGGGAAGGGGGTGCAGAGACTCTGAGCCAGGGGAGTGAGGTGCCCCCAGGGAGTTGGGTGCAGGACAGGGGTTACTGTGCTGCACCAGGACTCGATAAAATGATTGGTAAAGATGCACATGGACTTGCCACCCGTCCGGCCTGGTGCCAGCTCCATTGCGCTCCTGCCTCCCTACCCTGTACCCTGAAATCAGTGTGAAGTGCTGTCATGTTCTCTGGCTTCTCCCTCCCCTGCCCCCTTCCTGTGCTGCTGCTGCTATTGCTGTGTCTGGTGAGGTGACTGAGTGCCCAGGCCTCTCCTCTCCAGCCTCAGTGTTTTCCTAGGCCTTTGGATGGATGGGGGGCAGGGGACACAACAGAAGTCACTTGGCAGGAAAGCTGGGTGGAGATGGGGTTTAATGAGGGGTCCTGCTCTGAGTAATGGGGACAGATCCCAGGACATGGCTGGTCTGGAGTTTTGTCCAGATAAGTGGGTGCCCGGGCCTCTGGCCCACTTACAGTTGCTGTGACTTGATAACAGTAGAAACTACTTAAAACAGTTGTCTGTCCACAATAAACGAACCTGGGCTGTTTCGAGGCTTCCCAACTCCTGCTGCTGGACTCCTGGCCTCCTGAGGACAGGCTGAGACTGGAGCTCAGGAAGGTAGAGCTTGGCTAGCATGTGAACCAGCCCTCCACACAGCCAGGGTGTGGAAGGAGCACTGCTCTGGACCTGTCCTAGTCCTTGGGCTTGGCATTTTACCGCTACAAGGTGGTGAAGAGGCGGGTCCAGTGTTCACTCTCCTGGTTCCCCAATTTCTGCTCAGTGTGGCACATTTCCCCAAGGAAGGGGGCTGTGGACAGCTCTCCAGCCTGGGAGGCTGGGACCTGCAGCTGAGCCTGATCCTAAAAACTGAGGAGCCACATTGTCATTGAGACATCAGGAAGTTAAAATGCAGGTGCTTGGCCAAATCCCTAAGCCCCTTCCCAGAAAGGGCCTATAGAGGGTAGCTGGGCCAAAGCTGGGAATTACCGAGAGGAGTGACTGCCTGTGTCACCTTCTTCAGGGCCCCATTTCTGCAGTGGGCAGTGTAGGTGTGAGAAAAGGGCCTTGGTTGGGCTAAGCACAGGGCGAGCTTGGGGTAGGAAGTGAGGGGCCCTGAGCTGGGGGACGCTGTGGTCCTTGCCTCTGCAGACTGCTTTGGCTTTTATGTGGGTATTTATTACAAGTGGCCTTGTGTCAGACACACTCAGTTACATGCACGCATGCACATTCAGCTGCCCACTGGACACTCACCAATGGCCTTTCAGTGTAAGGGGAGGAAGCCAGTGTTCTAGATGTGCAGTTTGCACTTTGGAAAGGGGGTAGGTGAGGAAACCAGGAGGGGAGAACTCAGGATCCTCTAGGGTGCCTTGCTGGCAGGCACTGAGGAGGCTGGCACGGGTCTCCAACACTTTGTCTCTTGAGATAACTCCTTGGAGGCCTAGGGATTCCCAGTTCTTGGAGACTCCCCAGGGGATGTCTGTCTCTCCTGAGGAGGGTAAAGGGCAACCTAAGATTAGGTCTCCACCCTGCTGCCCCAGCCTAACCATCTCAGCCCCCAAGCTGGCTGTCTTCCTGTAGCTGCGGCCACCTCCACCTTGGCTCTGGGGGCTGGTTCCACTGTCCTTGTGACAATGGGAAGCAGTCTGGTGCTGGCAGTCAGAGAACTTTGGGGAACCTGCCCCACCCCTTCACTTCTCCCTTCATCCTGAGGACAGTTCCAGAGTTCAGACCACCTTGTTGGCCAGTTGCCCTCAGGCTGCACAGATACCTCATCATCGCCAACTCTCCCCATGCCCCTCCCCCAAGTGGGGGTGTCCAAATCTAGTGCCGAATGACTACGTCCAGATTGGTGACGATGGGTGTTGTTGCTGTTGTTTGTGTTGTTTGTGAACGCTGTGACGCCGTGTGCCCAAGTGGGCAGCCACCTCCCAACCCTTCCTTGGGCATCTCCCCCGAGAGCTGTTAGGACCATATCTGTCCTCACCCTGTGGGACCGCCTGGCCCTTCCCTCCCTAGCCCTTCCAGCCTGGGACAGACACACAACCTTACCTCTCATGCTTGTACTTAACCTTGGGTGTTCAGAGTGGCTTGCTGGCTGGGAGTCTTTACCTCGGGGAGAGGGGGAGGGTGGTTCCTTGGGGGGCCAAAGAAGGGCAGGGAATGCCTGGACTGCAGCGGGTCAACCAGAACCCCTGCTCTCTGGAAACAGCTGCTTCTCCCCCATCCCAGGGTCCCATCCCCAACCCCCAAAGAGGTGGCCCTTGTTTACAGTGAGGACTCGGTCACTGTGTCTCCGTTTCCTGAAATATAAACTGTAGCGACCCCAGACTGTAGAGATTTTTATGTGTTTGGATACATCTGCTGTGTGGGAAAAAAATACAAAAACCCTAATTTTGTACATATTGTATTTTTACTATTGAACTGTATTCTAGTGGCTGTTCATGCTCCAGGACTTTAGGTATTGAGACATGAATACTATCCATGTAATAAGCACTTGCCTGGAATAAAATATAAAGCTGAAATAAAACTGCACTGAAATCTGAAATGGAGTTGCCAGCCTGCATTTTTTTTTTTTTTTTTTTTTTTTTTTTTTTTGCAAAAAGAGGCGGCAGGCTGAAGGGGAAGCCATCCAGCCTGAACTAGCAGGGGACAGCCTGTCTTTAGCCCAGGATGTTTGGGGGACACGGGCTGAAAGTTAGAAAAAGACTTAAGACTGCCTTTTCCTGATCCCTACGGCTCAAGCTCTGAGAGTTAACTCTGGTTTTCCTTACGTGTTTGGAAAGCTTTATACTTCCTCGAACAATTTCTACAGTCGTTTTCTTGTTCCATCAGTTAACAGCCCAGTGGAGTAAATAAGCCAAGAGCTTGCCCCTTTTGGCTGATAAGGAAGCAGGCCTGAGGTGGCCAGGTGACTTGTAAAGTCACATGGTTGCTTGGCTTGTGAGAGCTGGTTAGCTCTCACCTTGCTGGAGAATTGTGCCCTAGCATTTGGCTCCTTGTTAGGCACTGCTAGGGGCACAATGCAAAGGTAGAGGTTGAGAAATCATTTAGGGGTTACAGTCATGGCAAGCAAGGAAACTCGGTGGTGATGGTGGGATGTCTGTTCACTAAGCTATCCTGTCCAGCCTTTTTTTTTTTTTTCCTCTCTTCCTGAGACAGGATCTTGCCATGTGATTCAGGATGGCCTTGAACTCACTATGAAGCCCAGACTGGCCTCTTACCTCATGGCGATCATCTTGCCTTAGCCCAAATGCTGGGATTATAGGCATGAACCACCATACCTGCCTCCACAAAGCTGTCCTTTCAAGGAAAGGGAAGGAATTGAAAGTTAGAGGACAGGAAGCCATCTTCTCAGCGGGCCTGGAAGACCACTGTCCCCATTTTGTCTCCTCAGTGCTCTTAGCAGGCAGGGTGGAAGTGAACAGGGTTAGAGCGGTTAGCTGATCATATTGTAGACCAATCTGGCTTCTCATCTACCGCAGACCCAGCAAAGAGCGCTGAATGCCTCTCTTCCCTCCCGGTGTGAGCATTGCAGGAGGTTTCTTCTGAAGGATGGTAATAGTGCCTGTGAATGCCCCGAGTCTTACTCTCTGAAAGTGGGGCCAGGTTTAAGGAAAATCGTCTCAGATTCCTCCCAGAGTCCCAGTATCACACCAGCCCTTTTCACTTGTGACACTTGGGCTCCCTCTGCTGGAAGCTCTGGGAAGAGCTGGGTCATGTTCACTGGCCTGTGACCACTACAGGAAAGATTTGGGTTATTATGGAGGACTCCTTTAAGAGTGTCCACTTAGATATTCCTGTGCCCAGCACCGAAGACATGGCTGAAGACTCTGGTTTCACATTGATGACCCATCGTTATCTGAGGGCTCTGACTAGAGCTTCAGGGCAAGCCCAGCCCCTTCCCTCTGTACTAACGGACACCATCCAGGCATAGTTGGACCCTGCATGAGAAGGGCCTGTGGTCAGGGTGAAAACCCCAAGCATGAATTCAGTTAGTTTATTACCCTTGTTCTGGAAGAATTCACTTTCTGGGGTGTGTCCCCATTAAGATGGTGCTTCTAGGGTGTACCATGTTTCCCACTTTTTGCTACCCATAGACAAACAGCCCCCTGCCTCTACGGCCCCACCACCTTGGTTGTGGGATTCCCTGAGCTGCTGAAAGTCTCACTGCTCCTGCTCCTAGAATAATTTACCCAGGCCTCTGAAACTTCTTCCAGGTGCTCACAGCAAAGGAATTGATTCCTCCAAGCCACAGAACCAGTAGAGGGATGGAAAGTGTCCTCCTCAGAAGCTTACACAAGCCCTTGGCCCCAGAGCTCCTTGAATCAACTGGTTTCTTTGCCACAAATCTGTTCTATTTTCATAGCCCAGGCCAGCCTGCTAAGACTTTGGGCTAGAATTTTCAATTCTGAGTTAACAGCAGACTAATGCCCAGAAAGCCAACATTCCATACAGCCAGAAAACATGTACTATTGGAGTTGTCACTCTGGATGGAGAGAGAAGGCAGGAGGACAGGACCTATTATTATTTTCTTTGGTACTGGGAATCAGACTCGGGGCTTCATACTTGCCAGGCAGGCACTGTGCTGCTGAGCTAAATCCCAGCCTGGGACCTATCATAGCTGGGTCCTCCCTTATTATTGAGCCCAACCTGACACAGGTATCTCAAGGCTGTTTAAGTTGGGGGTTTAGCTCAGCGGCATAAATGCCTGCCTGGCAAGAGTGAGGTTGTGAGATTGATCCCTGGTACCAAGAAAACAAAACAAAATAAAACAATATAAAATTGTTTTATACACACACACACACACACACACACACACACACACACACAGAGGCTGCTTAGTGAATGGAGGGGAGAGTATACCTGGAGGACAGAGGGAGGAGCTCATCAAGGCCCAGCCTTTCACTGCAGCAGGTCTGAAGGGCAGGCAGGTGGGATCCAGTGTGAGAGGAATCATGGCTCTGGAGCCCTTCCTCCCCCTGCATTGAGTACCTGAGGTCTATCACCCTGGCTTCCTGGGCAGCCACACCACCTGGAAGCTTTGATTCCGTTTGCCCTCAGCATCTCTGCAGTTGACCCCCTTGTGTTTGGTGATGCAGTGAACAGAATTTCCCAGTACACAGTAACTCAACATTCAGTGTCAGTGCCACAAGCACACCTGAGCCTCAAGCAATGCCAAATGCTGTTTATTCATCTGTTACACTGGAGAGTATAGTTTCTGAGGCAAAAAACATACACTCTGCTCCTCACAAAACCAGTCACTATGGCAGGCACACAATGGCCACCTGTGCTTGGTGGAGGCCACGGACTTATGGATGATAGGGTATGGCAGTGGGGTGAGCTGGCCCCCAAACAGGCCATGCAGTACCTGGGCAGAGGGTGGGCTGGGGGGGATGTGCTGGGTGCAGAAGGGCTGCCGTCTCCTTGTTAATATTTCTCAAAGGCAGGAAGTCTGCATATCTTGGTGACTGCTGGGCAGGTAACAAGCCCAGGTACGACTTCCAGGTTCCAGGAGATGGGGCCTTGCATGTGTTGGGGTACAGGGAGACATGGGATGACAACAAGCAGCACACCTAGGCTTTGGGTCAGAAGCTGGAGCCCTCTTGGCACCCCCGCAAACATGGCTCCTCCCAGGGGATTCTGGGTCCCTAGGCCTCTAAGCATCCTAAGTGGCATGTGGCAGGCAGAGTTGGCCCTTCTTCTCGCCAGGAACAAATTGGGCAGAGGCAGGCATCCCCAGCTCCCTTTGCCCCAGGAACTTAGCAGATGCCTGGGACAGGCCATAAGCTACTACAAAGCTCAGAGTCCTGACCCAAAGAGAAGGCTGAGGCAGGACTGCCTCCCTAGAGAATTGTGAGATCAATCTCACAATCTCTCTGGGTTCCCACGGAGAGCAAGCACTCCCACTGCATTCCAAATCACCCAGCTGACAAGTGTCATTCACAGTTTCTGGGATGCATCTAATGCATAAAGCAAGGGCAGGGTGGTTAAGAATGACACTGCACTGACACACATGGGTGTACTGTGCAGTGGGGCAAGCACATGGTGTTGACTCAGGTGGCCCAGAGGCAGTGTCAGTGCTGCTGAGGTGGGCTGTTCCCACCCAAGGACCATATCCAAGGGCCCCTGACTCAGGAGAGGGCCTGGAGGGTGACCCAGGCCCCCTGGCCCCAGGATTCATGCCCAAATGGACATTTGGGGATGTAAGGGGCTCTCAGGAGAGATACAGCACAGAGCCCTTGCCTGATGCCACTCTACTATGTGGTGCCCAGGCCACTGCAGCCCCTGTTGGCTTTCCAGGCCCCAGGTTGGCTTGAAAGAAGCATTGGGGAACAGTCCAGGCTGAGATGCAGGTGGCAGTGGGGCTATTCCCAGTCATTTGTGAGGGGAACACAGTAGGTGTCCCCAAGGCAGCTGTTCCCTAGGGCTGACCCCTCCTATCACAGCTGTTATCTGAGGGCTTCCTGGCCCCTGACGTGCCCCACAGGGCCAGCACTGCTCAGTCAGATCCCAGGCTCACAATCACTTTGTTAGAACACAACTGGACAGGCAGGGTCATCTAGGGGTGGGGCAGTCTGGGCTGTGCTGCCCTTGAACTTCTCCCTGCTAGAGCCTAGGCGCCTGCTACCGAGGCTTTCTCTCTGTGCTGCCGCTCCCGGCCACAGCACTCACTTGTTCTCTATGAGCATCTGCACCTTGTGGACCAGGTCCCGGGCAATCCGCAGGATCTCCTGGGCATCGTGACGCTCAGCCCGCTCTGGGGAAATAGGGATAATTTTGGGGAGACCCAAAGACAGGGCTGTAGGCAGGGAAGGGGCCCTGTGACTGACTACTCGGTTTATTTCTACCTATTGGGCTTCTGATATCCTGCCCACAGGAAAGGGACCCTGGTATTGTTTTTTTTTGAGATGGGGTCTCGCTATGCAGTTCAGGCTGGCCTTGTGCTCACTTTGTAGCCCAGGCTGGTCTCAAACTCGAAACGATCCTCCCACCTCAGCCTCCTGAGTGCTGGGATTACAGGTGTGAGCCACCACGCCCGGCTGACCCTGTTTTTTTTTTTTTTTTTTTTTTGTCTTTTTTCTTTTTATTGGTACCAGGGATCGAACTCACGACTGCCTGCTTGCAAGGCAGGCACTTATGCCGCTGAGCTAAATCCCCAGCCCCTGACCCTGGTATTCTTGAGAGCCCTCCAATTCTGCCCAGGTCAGGAGTGTAGGCCCCCATGCCCTTGCTGGGGCAAACAGGATCGGGGAACCAGCTCATACCATTGAAGAACTTGATGATGTCTGTGAAGTCCATGTTGTTATCCCGGATAATCTCTCGGTAGGCCTCCACCAGGGCCAGAGCAATGAACAGGACAAAGTGCTCCGATGAGATATGCCTGGCTGCCCAGATCACCTCCCATACAGCAAACACATCCTCATACAGCAACTCTGGGGACGGTAAGAGGACGACCCACCAGTCTCAGGCACAGGGCTGGTGCTAAAGCTAAGCCTGGCTGCTCTGCTGCCCACAGGTCTCAGGATGGAGCCACGTGGGAGACAGTGCTCCACCAGCCAAGATGTGGAACTCTCCCAACTACATCCAGTCTAGTTCAAGAATGAGTGTTCTAGTTGGGTGTGGTGGTGCATGCCTGTCATCCTAGCACTTGGGGGCTGAGGCAGGAGGACCACTGCAAGTTTGGTCCAGTCTGGACTACCTAGTGAGTTCAGGGGTAACCTGAACTACAGTGAGACCCTGTCTCAAAACAACAAACCAACAAAAGCCGAAGTTCTATACTTGAGATGAAGGTCCTACCCTTTTCTTCAGCTATTTTTGCCTATTTCTCTTTGGTTCCTGCAGACTCTGTTGCAGTACTTCACTTTTCCAGGGCAACCCTCCTTTTTCTGCTCGTGGAAAAATTGGGTTGAAAAAAAGTTTCCCCAACTATCACCTGTTAGGGTGGTACTGAACTCTGGCTGAACCACAGAATCACTTTATATCCTTTTAAGAACATGTGTCATACCATCGATACAATCAGGGCACAGGACCTGCTTAGCATCCAGAGTGCCTGGGCTCCATCCACAGCACCATTAAAGAAACAAAAGCAGCCAGGTATGATGGCACAAGCCTGCAATGCCAGCACTCTGGAGGAATGAGGCAGGAGGACACCAAGTAAGAGCCCACTTAAGCAATTTAAAGACTTGGTGATACCATATCTCAAAATGAAAATGGACTGAGGATGTAGCTTTGTGTGATATCCCTGGGTTCAATCCCTAGAGCCCCAAACAAAACGCAACCAGATGAAACAAAATATCCCACAAACAAAAAATCCTAAATAGAACACATATGCCCAGGCAGTAAACCTGTTTAGGTAAGGGCATTAGAAGTTTTTCACCTCTCTAGTGCATTGTAAGGGGGAGTTAAGGGAAAAAGAGATCTCTGATTGCCCCTGACCCAGCCTCACAAACTAACACGATTCTTACCTCTTTTAAAATCCAGCAGGAACCAGCGGTAACAGAAATAGAAGTGGGTGTAGTCTCCATTCTGATGCATCAGCTCAAACAACTCTGAGTCCAGGATCTCATGGGGAAAGAGGGAGAGACCAACCTGATGCTGTCTCTCCGCCACCTTCACCCACCACACCCAGTGGGGCTGGCTGCCTCATGCTGCTCAGGTCTCACTGCGGGGTGCTTAAGTCTACTGCCACACCTGTCTCTCTGGGCTGTATTCTTTTTCAAGTTGTGCAAGTTTCTGGGTATCTCATCACCAGACTCACAAGCACACTCATACTACTCATCAATTTGTAACACCGATAATAATTTTTTTTTTTTTACCGGTATTGGGGATTGAACTCATGACCGCCTGCCCACAAGGCAGGTGCTTATGCCACTGAACTAAATCCCCAGTCCCTTTTTTTTTTCTTTTTTATCCGTACCAGGGATCGAATTCACGACTGCCTGCTTGCAAGGCAGGTGCTTATGCCACTGAGCTAAATCCCCAGCCCCTGACAATGGTTTTTAAAATAGAAGAAATTAAGCTTTTATATAAAGGATGCTTCTGGAACACTTCCTGGCCTCCATGTGGCAGATGTGCAAGCCCAGCAGCCACTGGGCCCATGGGTGGCTGCAAGACCTCACCTGGATGAGGGAACGCATGTTGGCAAAGTGGGTGTCCATGGCGCCCCCGCTGGGGAAATTCTGGCTCATCCTTTTCATGAGGTGGCTAAAGCAGCTGTAGGCCAGCTGATCTACAGGGAGACAGGAGTGAGGTCTGAAGATGGGTCAGCTTACAGTCCTCCCCTCCCAGATCTTGCCACCTTCTCCTCTTGCCAGTCCATCACCCCAAACCAACTTCATCCTGGTGACCTCCATTCTCCATCCCTCACCATCATCAAGGATGACCAAGAGAGGTGCCAGCAGATCACACATGCCTTGGACGTAGCCCATGTCCAGGTGCTCCCACACGTAGCTGAAACAGTAGGGCCAGTCACTGGAGCTGTGCACCACCCTTTCCTCCTTGCAGGGATCCTTGGAGCAAGGCCCTTAGAGCAGCCTGCTACCTAAAGTCTGCCTTTCCAGGACACTGAAACATTTACTATGCATCCCACACTGAGGCAGTGGGTTATTACTATGGGTCCTGCCCTCAAGGTACTCGGAGCCCAAGGGAAAGAGACAAGAGGCCATCACAGCTTGCCATGAGGGCCAAGGGAATAAATACAGGTAGGGCTTCCTGAAGATGTGTGGTTGAAGCAGAGATTCAAAAGACTTTTGGGAACGCAGAGGGTGGCACTACAGGCAAAGTCATCTTGACAGGGTGCTGTGTGTGACTGCATGTACAGCAGGGTGTCTCCTGGAATGTTTTTTTTGCCTGACAGGCACTTGTGCTACTGAGCTACATCCCTGGCCTGAACAGAATCTTTCACAGAGCAACAGGGAATTCCTGTCTCCCACTCTGAGCCTCCCACCCCAAGGCTGGTACCTGCACATGATGTCTCTGAGCCTCTCGAGATTGGGGGGCGTGAAATACCAGTAGTTTCGGTCACATCTCTGCACATCCTTGTCTATGCGATGCAGATTTAAGGCCACAGTGTCCAGTAATTCTATCTGGAAGAGTGGACAGCCCTCAGCAAAGAGGCTGGCAAGCCCCTCCTGGGTAAGTACATGAGGTGGTTCCCTAATGAAGAAATAGAGCCAAATAGGGAACCCAGGGTATTCTGAGAATAGAATGCTTTGGGGATGCTGAGAGATGGGTCTGGTATTCCCTCCAGGAGAGCACCCCGCCACCCTACAGCCTGTCCCCAAGTGTCAGCATGTTAGGTGGGCCTCTGGGGACAGTGCTGGGGTATGTCCACGTACAGTGTAGGCTGCAGCACACATGGCTGCCAGCTCCCCATCTGCCTCCAGTTCACTGGCCTGGAGAGCCTTCTCCTGGCTGGGCTCTTGGGGCTCAGAAAAAGCGTGGGCTGCAGAGGCCAGCTCATTGGAGCCTTCCTCTCCACCGCCATCCTCCTCAAAGCCCACACTCTGGCCCTCATCTAGGCTGGACTGGATGCCTGAGGCCACAGAGTAATTTCGGGAGGATGGCAGCCCTGAGTCTGGAGAGTCAAACTCCACTGACTGCTGCTGCTCCACCATGGCAGTGCCTGGAGTCCCGACTCCTGGTTCTTGCTCGGGGTTTGGTCTGGTGTCTTCAGAGGCCTGGGGGCCTGGGGTCTCCAGATCATCCACAGAGATAAACACCTGGTGGAGTGAACAGATGGCAGCTCTTACCTGCACTCCAGGACTTTCCTGAAGCCCCTGTCTCCTCCCTAGGTTGGAATGGAGCTGGGATGGAGAATTTCTTCACAACCCTATTCCCATCCATAGTAGTCAGCACAGGCTGCCAAGCTGGCATCAGACCCAGCTAAACAAGTGGAAGAAATAAGGCTTTGGGTGAGGGAGGATTATCTTTAGCCCTATCCAGTCCTGGGTCATGTGAAGTACACAAGGCATCCTGTGGCTGCTGCATGGAAAAAGGAGCCAAAGCTTTGACACCCCGTGGTTGGGTTAAATTGCCATTCTACAAAGCCTTAGGTAAAAAGCCCAAGAGAGCTGTCCTAGTGTCTTAATACAGCTGTTGGAGCAATGTTGGGGCTAGAGAGCAGGCTGGAGGTTTTAGGGAAAGCAAGTTCTTTCATACTCCTTATATTTAAAGCAGGACAAGAGAGTAAACTTGTATAGCAAAGTACTTAGTTATGTTAGCCTTCAGACAAAGGGCCTCAGAGAAGTTAGAAGTAAAAGAAAACATTCTATCATTCTATCAATTGAAGGAGTCATAGGGAAAATAAGATTAGATTCCCCCCCCCCCAACTGGTCTATGGAGCAAAAGGCATGTTCAATGTAGTTTTCAATTTGGGCAAGAAACCCTACTTGGAACCTCTTCTGTCTCTCTTAAGTAGTTTTCTTTCTCTCAAAGATATTCTGCTCTTAAAACAAAACAAAACAAAACAAATCTGAAGTGTTGGATAAGGATACAATTCTGAAACAATCAAGAGACTTAGAATGGAGGTGTACCCTAGCATCCTGAGAAAGGCTGAGACAAAAGAATCAAAAGTTTGAACCCAGCCTGGGCAATTCAGCAACTTAATGAGACCCTGTTTTAAAATTTAAAAAATAGGGGACAGGGGATTAGCTGTAGCTCAGTATGAAAGTTCTAAATTCAATCTCCAGTACCTTAACAAAGCGGAGAGGGTGTTCTAATCCACAGGCAGATGTGATACCAGGAAGACCTACCCACTAATGCTAGGAACTAGCGCTGGAATCATTTTTTCAAGGAGTTAGAAAAAATCATAGGGAGGAAGGATCTTGCCAGCACACCAGCAGGACTGCTCTAAATGTTCCTGTTCTCTGCATAAGAACTCTCTACGCAGCCTCTGAATTCAGAGACATGTGAGCAGATATAAGCGAACCCAAGCCAGAGATGGGAAGGTACTGCCCAGAGATGCTCTTTTCATCAGTAGTGGATCCAGGGTCGAACCCAGGGGTGCCTGTTGCTGGCCTTGAGTTCTTCCTACATGGATGGAGGGCTTCCTTAAATCCCAATACACCTGTCTTGCCCTGCTCATCTGTTGAAACAGCACAGAGAACTATCAGAACTATCTCATCTGGTTCTTACGACTCCCAGCAAAGTAGGCAGCAGGGCAGCGCTTATCCATTTTTCAGCTGAACAAAATGACCCACAAACACAGCAAGCCTTCCTCCCAGGGTTCCAATGCCAGTCAGTATTAGAGGCTGGGCTGATGTTCAGGATTCCTGAGCATCAGAGGCTCCTGGGGCCCATCCCAGGTCCCCACCCCTCAGCCAGCTGGCTCACATCATTGCTGATGGTGGAATCTCGGTGGATGAGGCGCTGCACGTGGCTGTCAATGCTGCTGCCCGAGGAGAACTTGGTGAGCGCGGCTGGGTGGGCCTCCCGCTCCCGCTGCCTCACCACCACCTCACAGGCCTTCCACTCTGTCAGCACCTGCTGGTACCTTGCTGCCACCGCCGCATCCACCTGTGCTCAGACCACACAGTGACCTTGGTGGGAGGGTGTGCCAGAGTTTCCTCCTCAAGAGCTGGGGCAGCTGCCGACTAGAGTGGGGCCTCAGGTGAAGGCCACAGGGGCTCTGCTACCATCTTCCTCTGCCACATTTCTTTTCAGCTAGAAAGGGGCTGAGGCTTCTGAGGCCCCCCTCCCTGAAGTTCTGTGGCCCAGTTCCCCAGCTCCCTAGTGCCATGCGAAAAGGCTCCCTTACCTGCTCCATCTCCTTCTTATTCATGCCAAACTTGTAGTGGCCAAGCAGAAAGGGCCAGATGTCCTTGCGGATCTCATGCTCCACACCTCCGTAGTAAACCCGCCTCAGCAGCTCCAACTCCTTGTAGTTCTGAAGGAGCCGGGAGAAAAGACTGTGCAGGCCCCATGGTCACTACCCTGGGGGTGGCTTACACAGGTGAACCCATCCCATGGAAAACCCTGTTAAGGGGTAGTGGTGTCCTCCTGTGTCCCAGGGCATAGCTGCCCTCCTTATGGGACAGGAGCAGCCCAGAAAAGGACAAAGATCTGCTCGTGGTCACAGCAATACACAGGCAGAATGAATTTCCAGCTTGGTCCCTTCCCACATACACCTACGCATCTTTGATCATCTCTACTGTCACATGGGTCACTCCATGGCCTGTCAACCCCGTCCCCTACTGTATTTTACTCAAATGACCATTTAGGCTACGGAAGCTGCTCCCATAGCACCCAGCTGTGTACAACTTCTGCCCGCCTCTGCCCTTGACTTGGTCTCTGTTTCTGAGGCACAAAGTCGCACCTTTTTGTCCTTTTGATACTTGCTCCACACATCCTTGGTGAGGCCTCTTGATGCCCCTGGGGGCTGGTCGGGTGGGATAATGTTGTGACGCACCAGCGCTGACAGATGGGTCCGCACCGTGGACAGGTGGCGGCAGTAGGCCAGCCCTGTGTTGGGCAGCCAGGAGGCTGTGACTGCGGTGCTCCCCACCCCAGCCCCTCGAAGCCCACCTCACCGCACACTCACAGCCATAGAAGGCGCGGGACACAATCTGCCTCTTCATGCTCTCACACAGTAGCCTAAGGGGCAACCTGTGGGAACAAGACAGCTCAGAGGGTCGGCGTTCATGGCCGCTGCAGGGAAGAGATGACATGAAGGGCATGGGAGGTGGTGTGGGGAGAAGATCTATAGCCTCATGGCTTGTCAGCAGGTTTCCATCCCTGGCATCCACCCATAAAATTGCTGCCCTCGGGGCTGGGGATTTAGCTCAGCGGCATAAGCGCCTGCCTTGCAAGCAGGCAGTCGCGAGTTCGATCCCTGGTACCGATAAAAAAAGAAAAAGACAAAAAAAAAAAAAAAAATTAAAAAAAAAAAAAAAAATTGCTGCCTTCTGGCCCCAACTACACAGGGACCTTGGGCATCTTACTTTGCCTGAGTGAATCTTGGTTCCACATGAGAAAATGAAGAACACCTCCTGAGGATCACCAGGAGTAACAGGTTAAAAAATAAAGGACAAAGCCAGGTGTGGGGTGGCTCATGCCTGTAATCCCAGCACTTGGGAGGTGAGGCAAGAGGATTGCTATGAGCTCAAAACCAGTCTGGGCTGCAAAGTGAGCTCAAGGCCAGCCTAAACTATATAATAAGACCCTGTCTTGAAAATACAAACAAACAAACAAAAACGTGACAGGAGGGAAGCACACAAAGGCTGCTTATATGGCCCTTTCCACATGGTAGGTGCCTTGATAGGTGTTGCATGTACACAAAGGTGTAGCCTGATAGCAAGATCTGTTTCTACGCTGGGAAGGAGCATCCATTATGTGCAGGTACAAGTCTAGGTGCTCACGTAGTCCTCACAAGTGCCTTAGAAAGCTGGCCATATTATTCCCATTTTACAGGTAAGGAATCTGAGGTTTAGAAACATAGAGGCTCCTGAAGACTAAGCAACTTGCCAAAGCCACATGGGTAACACAAGTGAAATATAAACCCAACTCTGCCAAACGCCATGCTGTCATGCAACTGACATAGTTTATAAAAACAAAGGATAAGGGCTGGGGATTTAGCTTAGCGGTATAAGCGCTTGCTGGTACCAAAAAAAAAAAAAAAAAAAAAAACCAAAAACCAAAAAAACAAAGGATAAACACACAGATGGATATGGGAATGAGAAGCTAGTATTCTGGGCCCCGTCCACTCACCTGTCAAGAATGCAGCTGCAGTGGCTGGAGGTTGCATATGGGGAGCTGCAGGAGGAGCAGGAGAGGCAGGAAGAGCCCTGGCTACACAGGGGCTCCAGGTGCCAGGCTGCCAGGCCAGGCCCAAAGCCCTGCATCTCAATCATGTCACCAGCATCTGAGGGTAGGAAGGAGCTATGGTCAACACCTGGCAGGCCTCCTCCCCCATGTACCCTATAGCATGCCCACCTCTGTGCCCAGAGCTGCAGCATGAAGTCACACATTGATGCAAAACCACAGGGATGGTTCCTGCCTGGGCCAGAGTTCAGAAACGGAAATTATTTCCCAGCCTCCACCAAGCCTTGAGAGGGCTGTCTTTTCTATGTGTGATAATATACATGGACTGAGTGAGCATTGTATCTACCTACCTTCATCTTACTACCCGGAAACAACCACTTTCTAGAGTAAAGGGTGGAAAGAGGAGGAACACCAAAAGACTGAGTTCTGGAAACTGCCATTAGTCCAGACTTTCAGGGTTCAGCTTGGTTCTCTTGGGCAAACTTTGAGATGTTCATGAAGGTGGCTGAAATCCCCAAACTGTGATTCCCCCTCTCCTAGGAAGAGTCTCCACTGATCAAAGCCCCTAAAAAATCCCTGAGCTACTTGGTGCTCAGACCTTCTGAGGGGTTCTAGATCTGGTGGACAGTGGTTAAGTAGGAACAGTGCTCCCTGCCAAGTCCAGACACCCTGCAGTCTAGTGTGACTTCGTTCTTCTCATAGGTGAGCTGCAAGGAGGGTCAAATTCCCCGGGCTGCCAGGGACTCTGAGGATGGTGACTGGGCACACAGGCCCACCATCCAACATGGCATCATAGATGAACACATAGCTGCAAAAGATGGACAGTCTAAGCCACTGCAGATAAGAGCCTTCAAAGCCAGCCGCGCTGCTGTGGGTCAGAACTCAAGCCCCTTGAGAGTTTCCATGGCCAAAAGTGAAACAGGATACTCCTTGGGGATGCTGGTAGGTCCAGGGAGCCATAGAGATGAAGCATAGCGAGTGCAGGAAATGAAAGAACAAAGGATGACACCATGAAGGAGAGGGAGAGAGCGGAGAAGAGTGAAGAACAAGGATAGAGCATGTGTGCTGAGGATGATTCTTTCAGCACCAGCTTTCTAGGTCAATCTAATGTGACCCTGGATCAGCCTGGACCCTGGTTACTACGGTTTGGAGCAGGCCTGGGCCTGCTTTCTTGAAGTCAGAATCCAGCTGAGTGTGCCTGGGCGGGGAGGATGAAGCCCATTCTCTTCCCATCCCCTCAGGGGCTGCCCTGCCTTGACATTCCCCCTCTCAGACCCACAGCTGGGATTTGTGTAACTATCTGGCCCTTTAGCTCCACCAGGAGGCAAATTAAGGAAACACACTTAGTGAAGGTGGTTTCGGCTCTGGGAGTGAAGGGTTGCAAGCCATGCCTGAGACTTTGGGAAGAAGAGAGGGAAGGGATAAGTGCAGGGAGGGTGGGACAGGAGCCCAGCTCATGCCCCTGCAGCAGGCAGGAGGGTCCAGTCCTGGAAAGAGCCAGGATAGGAGCTGACTCAGCCAGGCAGGCAGGAGGCAGCAGGCAGGCCGGCAGGCAGGAAGGGTGGCAGATGTAGAGGACATGGGGCAGGGGTGGACAAAGGAAAAAAAGCTCATGTCCAGAAAGCAGGGCCCAACCAAGCCTGAATCAATGCTCTTCACCTTAATTCTCCAGGAAGGAGCTGAACCAGCCAGCATTGAACACTGTGTCTCTGAATGAACCCAGTGCGATAGCTGGAGCTCTGGAGTGACTGGGTGAGGGGCAGCAGGCTGGGTGGGAGGGATCTACTGGGTCAGCTTTGACTCTGACTCTCTCCTCTGAGCATGAGGAAAGTGCAAAGGAAACAATTAAGCTGGGTGAACCCGACAGCCCCTAAGACTCTGAGTGAAAGGCGCCTGGCCTGGAGCAGAATTAGAGTGAATAGCATCTCTGCTCTCTGGGGAAGGCAACTGGAAAAGGGAGAAGAGGGGAAGGGGAAATCTGGACACCTGCCACTTGAATGACGTGCACAAGTCAAGCATGTTGCAGGCCTGAAAAGCAACAGCTAGCAAAATGGACTCAACAGTGTTGTCATTATGGACTAGAGTGGAGGTGGGGGCTCCCATCGCCATCCTTTCTCCCAGTGACCTGCCTTCTCCCATTTTCTAAGTATTGGGGTTCTAAGAGCTGCAGAGTAAGTTGGTTCATTCCAAGTTCCCAAAGGATGCCCAGATCAATCCTGAGGCCTCTGATTCTGCAGGCCTAGATCTGCTCCTGGAAGCCTCAACCCTAAGACTAGTTAGGGATAGGCTTCTTATTGTCAAGTCTGCTGAGACAAGGGTTCTGCGGAGCCTTCTACTCTTCAGCCTGGCTGCCAGTTCACAAGGCAAAAAGGGGTTCCTTAGCCCCTTTTTAGAACTCAATCATATAACTCAAAGTCAACCTATAAATGAGCAGCAGCCTCAAGTCCAAGTTTGCGAGGAACCAGGTGGCAACATGTGTGTGGGCAATAAACATGGGAAGTAGTATGTTTTTTCTTACAGACTTGTTGGAAGGGATGGAAAGGAAGAAGAGCAGGCCCAAGGGAGGTGAGTGGTTGGAAGGGTGACGGCTGGCAGGGATGATTGAGGGGTTGCTGGGTGTGTTCAAAACCATAGACGTGGCTGGCAGGGATGAAGAGGTTCATAATTACTGGCTTATTAGCTGGGCTAAAGGAGAAAGCTCCTTGGCAGAATTCTGTGGAGGAATAACGCAAGTGCTGTATTCTTAGGCTCCTCTGTAGGGACACAGAAAGGGATAGAGATGGAGAAGTTCCCTAAACTCTATGGAGCTGGCCTGATCTCATCTTGACCCCTCAAGGGCCCCAATCTGGCCTTCACCAGGCCCCAGCCTGGCAGCTCTCCAAAGAGTGGGGTTCCCTCTTCAGCAATCCAGCTCTGTGCTAAGGAAGATGAAGATGAGCACAGGAAACCCAAGGGACTGTGGGCACTGTGCTATGTCATTTCCAATGAAGAGATCTCTGTAATCATGGACTCAAGTCTGTGAGGGTAGACACACATCTGTCTGATGTCCTCAAAGCAGCATCTGGCATGGATGGGGAGACTAAACTCTGGGAGGGTAAGACACTTGCGTAAACCCACTTAGCTAACAAGGAACACATGTGGGGCAGGCGATGCCATTACATATGCTCCTTCCTGGACCCCTGCTGCAGTTATTTCTAGATTTCACGATAAAGTACTGGTCACCTCTGCTGGAACCCTCAGGCCTACTGGGAACACTGAACCCTGGGGTCTCTCCAGTGGTCCTCCCACTCCTTGCTTGACCTCTTTAATCCACATGCCTGTCAAAGGAAGGGGCTGCTACCTCTGTCCTCATTTTGTTCAACTGAGTCAGAAGCACAGGGTTGTTGGGCATGGTGGTGGACACCTACAATACCAGCACTCAAGAGGCTGAGGCAAAAGGATCATTGTGAGTTCAAGGCCAGTGTGCACTACACAGTGAGACCTTGCCTCAAAAACAAAACTAAACGAAACGGCTCAGGGCTGAGGCTGGTCTTTCCAATTAGCAGGAGAAGCAAAAAATGAGATCATACCTGGCATTTGCCAGCACTGAGCTAAGGGGTGGAGAGGGGCTCAGGTAGGCCCTTCAGGACCTCCAAGAAGCTGTCAGTCACCCCTATACCTCTGTTACTCTTCTCTACTCTCAACACGAAGCCCCTTCCTCATGGCCAGAGCCACTCATTCTATAATCTCTCCTTTTCTTGGAAGCTCCTGTTTGGCCTCCTTGTTCCCTCCCTAATCTGGTTCCTGATAGAAGAAACCACCCAGGGTATAAGTCCCTTAATGCCAACACTGCTGTTTGAGCCCCTGCGGTGGGTGGCAGGTGGGCCCAGGGGGTTGGGTGGAGGATGAGGTAAGTCAGGGAGGGGAGGGATAAAAACCTTTCATCGGATTGGGAGCTGTGAGGTTCCGCGAGCAGATCATTGAGAGCATCGCGTGTAGTTTATCCTCCTCTTCCTCATCATCGTCCACCGAGGCCGCGCGGCTGGCCGCTAGGTGGTGGTAGTTAATAGTGACTGCTCAAAGAGAATAGCGAGAGAGGCAGAGGCATGAGGACCCTAGTCCCTGAGCAGAAGGAACCAACTTCCTCCTTAAGGTGAGTGGCGCAGAGGCTGGGATCACCTTGAACCTGCAAGGCACAGAAGAGGGGAAGCAAGGATCTGAGAGCCTTTCTGATGATTACTTGGGAGAGAATAAAAGCAAGGGTGGGGCTGGGAGGCAGCTACAGAGCTCCATTCTTTGGAGGAGTCCTCTCTAGGAAGACCAGAAGAACTAAGGGGAAAGGTGTCAAAGACAAGGACTATTAGGGACAGGCTGGCAGCTCAGGAGCTCAGCAAAAGCTGGCTGAGGCTAGGCACACATAAATGCTGGCAGGTAACTCCTGATCATTCTTCAGATTCCATATTCAGGCTGGAATCTGAAGATTCCACCAAATCCCACTTTCAGACTATAAATTCAACCTTCTGCTCCTCCAGGGGTTTTCCCACAGCTGCTCTTGAGAAGCCAGAGTAACTGAGTTTCAGCCCCTGGTACCCTGGCTTGCCCTCTATGAAAATAGTCCTGACAGTGAAGCGACCAGATTTGGGGAATGCCACTGACTGAAGAGACAAAGTAGGATAAAGAATCTAAATCATGCAACAGCCTAAGATTAAATACAGGGCTTGTGGCCCTATAGCCCAGGGGTTACAGCACCAGTCTTATAAATACAGGGCTTACAAACACATTCTGGCAAAAGCTGTCTTCTTGCCAGGCACATCTGGGGGGGGGGGCGGGGAATCACCTACACTTTGTGCCTTCTAATCCTGTTGGGGTAATCTGTGGTATGGCTATATGCATATATGCAGTCTAGGTCATCTGTCTTCTAATATAGAGACAACTCAACAACATTTTGGCACCAGTTAAGAACTTGAGGCAGCTGGTGGTCTGGTTGGCAGTAAGCACTTTGGGCTGGCAAATTTCCTAATCATTTCTTCAAGAAACATGAGTTTGACCCAGAGAAGCTTATGGGTCTGACCAGAAAGAGACCTTTGGTGTAGATGCACAATTATAGATAGACATTGTAGGCTTAGGGTGTGTGTCCAGGGCAATGCACAACCTGTGAAGGTCTGGCTACCTTTGGGCTGCCAGCTCTGAACAACCAACCTGCAAGCCACCCGCTTCAGATGCAACTTTTACTTCAGCAAAACTCCTCTCATCAAGAGTTGGCTTGAGGGGAACTCTAGCGGCAGGGGAGTCAGTGAACAATTTGTACCATCAAAAAAGAAGCACAGAGCCCATGCCCAGACCACTTTGTGGAGGCTGGGTGGCAGGCTTAAGAGAGATGGAAAGTCCTACTAGTCTAGTCCTACTCTCTCTCTCTTATTTTTTCTGGGGCAGAGCATGAAAGGGTGACTAGGAGAATTCTGTATAGTGATGCTTGGGTCTGCTGAGCAAAGAGTCTCATGATGAAGAAATGGGGAAAGACAACCAGGCAGAAGAGAGGTTAATTTACAAAGGGAGGATCTATGGATAAAAGGTCTAGAAGACAGACTAAGCGACGAATCCTTTGTCTCAACCTGGTCTGATCAGTGGACCTGTCTGCCACCCTTTTGGGTGATGCAGCACTCAGCCCCCTGATTACCTCTCTTCTCTTGCATGGAGAAAGTTCAGAACACTCACTGTGCTCATGCTTGTGCCCAGGGTAGATGATCCGGAACACGTAGTCTGTGGCCCGCCTCATGCCCAGCTCCTCCACATCCACGGATCGCATGCTGCTGCGTTTCCGTAGCTTGGGGAACACCTTGCCCTGCAGAGGGAGGGGGCGGTCAGGCTGTCCAGGGAAAAATCCCACCTAGGGTCCCACCCAAGGCTGCTCCTAAGGACTCTGTGTGGGGAAAAGAAGGAAGGAGGCTGATGAACCACCCAACACAGCCCTGCACCCAGAGCTTCTTCCCATGCTGAGGTACCTTCCCCTGCTGGGTCCACAGTGGGGGCTCCAGCTGTCCTCGAGGCAGCAGCCCATTCTCCAGACAGGACAGAAAAGAGAGCAGGTGTCCTCCCTGTGGGAAGTGCAGTGGTGGCCTCTGGATTCCGTCCTGGCTCACCAGCACAAGCGTGCCACCATTCTCTGGAGAATGAATGTGGGAGAGTGAGGCTGGGTCCCTCCTTGAGACCTCCCTGTCCATCACCATGGCCCCACTGGCCGGCTCTCCAGGTTGGGTAAGAGGACAGTCAAGCTAGAGTGTGGCCCAGTAGTTGCATTAACAGGGATGGCAGGAGGGCTGGGGTTGGGCCCAGTAGTTGCATTAACAGGGATGGCAGGAGGGTAGGGTACACACCTAGCATGCACAAAGCTCTCAGTTCAAGCCTGAACATGGCAAAAAATAAAATAGAAATAAAAATAAAAATAAGGAGAGGGAGACAAGAAGTCCAATGGGCTCCCTGCAGTGCATGGCTGGGAGAACGAAAATATCTCTGCCTTCACATTGCTGTGCCCTGGACAAGAAAACTTACTTTGCTGGTGGCAGTGGATGCAGACAATCTGACTGAAGGGCACCACTAAGGCATAATCCCAGTAAACGCTGAAAAGGAACCAGATTGGCGTTACTGTGTCTCAAGACCTGTCATCCTTTCTTGTCACCTGCAAGTGATTTTCTCACCCCTGGGAACTATCCTGAAGGCTGGACGACAACTGCTGAGAAGGGACCTCAGCCAACCATGTCCTTCTGAGTCCCATGCCGTTATCATGGCATAAAGCCAGTTACGTTCAGCTGCCTAGAGCTGTGGCTCAGGCACACCTCTCCTGGCCAGGCTTCACTCAATCCTAGAGCACTTGGCATGCCCGAGGCTCCTCTCACTGCAATTCTTGGCACTAGGATAAGAAGTGGGGGTGCCTCCTGACACAGGCCAAGTCTCTCCATCTCCCTGCCTGGGATCAAGCCCCCACTCCCTTTCTGAACACCAGGAACAAATTTCAAGGGCCCCACCTCTTTTCTAGCTCGGAGTCCCCCAGAGTTCCATTCATGAGCTGGTTGGGGGTCCACTTCAGGGTGAGGCTCTCTGCAGACTGGTGCAGAGAGAGGTAGCCGGGGACAGCCTCCATGTCTTCTTTCTGTAAGGAGGAGAAATACCAGAAGACAGACCATGAGAGGCTAGGAGGCTCCCTGGGATGGCTCATGGAGATGAGCTCCAGGTGCAAGCCAGATAGGAGCTGGACTGGAGGCTAGGAGTAAGCAAGGGAAGATAGGAGCTACATGGCAGATCTGGGCGTTTCTTCCTCCTTGGCCTGGCTCTGCCCTGTCAGCTTCCTAGATGCCAAGTGTGTTGCCAGGGAAAGCCAGCTCCAAGTTGGGCAATGACCCTGTCTGCTGGCCACCATTCCTTAACCCTGGATGGCCCGGTTTTCAGTTTGCCAGGAAAGATGCCATCTCTAGCTTCTGCCAACTCCATGATGGGTATGAATCATATGAAACAGGGTGTGTTTTTCCCTCTCTTTGCCCAGGGGCTGCAGGAAAGAAACAGCTGTGGCTAGAGGTGTCCAGTTTGGAAAGGGGGACTGAAGTGAGCTATGGTGGCCTTAAGTTTTCCTACCGGCTGTACCAGCACGTTGTTCTTGCCATACAGCAGCCTTGTCCTTGAGTTCTGGTGCAGGGATTCCACATACTCGCGGGCGCAGGCTGCTAGTCTGTCCTCTGATGCACTGCCACTAGAATGCCGCTTCCGGATCTGCCAGGAAAGCTATGGCTCAGTTCCAGGCTGGACTTGAGAATGCTCAGGCTTCCGTGCTGACTCTCAATCTCTGACCCCCGTCCCTTTCCTGCCCCTGCTTTGCTTTAGGCCATGGCCTAAGATGAGCTCTTGGCATTCCTACAAGCAGGCTCTTCTGTGATGGCCACCACCTAGGGGTCAGTTTCTCCTCCCTACAGGCGCATGAGCATAGCCTGAATGAATGAGCACAAGGGATAGGGAAAGGGACACCCACCCCCAGGGCTGGGCGCTTTGCAGGGGAGTCCTGACGATTGGGGGGACCCCGGATACGGTGCCTCTGGACCAGCTCATCAGCAGAAGGGTCAGTCCAGTAGTGATCAGCTGTCTTGAGCTTTGTGTATTCCAAGGCACAGGGTCCCACTGTGGCAACAGGGATGGTTAGCTTAGAGTGGCCTCCCTTACCATTTGCCCCTCACCTTTCAGCCCCACATAGGCCTCTTATCTCTCAGGCTCACCTAGAAGAGAGGCCAGGATTGGCCCAAACACAGGGTCTGCCAGTAATGCTTCCTTCTCGTAGAACTTGCTGCCAGGAGACAAAATGATTGATGGGATTCATGGACTCAGTCCAGGGCAGTCAAGCTCACCAGGAAAAGATGTACCAACAAAGACTAGGTTCATGTTAGTCACCAAGAAGGGGTGAGTTCATAGGATGGAGCTTTAAAATTAGGTGCACGGTGTGGTTTAAGTTTTTAGAGTGCTAAAAGGGAAGATGGAGGCATGCCTAGACTAGCCAAGCATGTGGAGGGTGGGGCTAAAGCCTTGTGCAGAAGATGGGACAAAGGAGGGGCCATTTGGGGGATGGGGAGTCACCTGCAGTTTTCCGCCAGGTACTGTACAACCCTGTCCAGAACTTTCTCGATGAGTGCTGTGCGTACCCATATATGTTTCAAGGCCTGTGGGCTAAGGGCTGAGGCCTTCCCGCTGGCTGAGCCCTGTCTCCGCAAGGCCTCCTGGTTGCCTCCTGAAGGTTTCCTGCAAAGTAGGGAAGGGCTTCAAGAGTGCGAGTGTTTAGGGGTAAACTCTATGGCAATGGCAATAAGAACAGAGACCAATGCCACAAGATAGGAGCCCAGAGGCTCCCTAGCCTGGCACTGGGAGTTGAAGAAGAATAGGACTGCAAGGTTATGAGTTTGATCCCTGGTACAGAAAAAAAAAAAAAAAAAAAATCCAGAAGGAGGATGGGACCTTGAGTCTCCAAGAAGCCAATTCCCATCCTTAGGTGGTCCCTCACCCAAGAGGTACTGAAAGGCATGGCCACAAAGCCAACCCTCAAGCAAGTTGTCCTGGGAAGGAGCAAATGCCAAGAGAAAGAGCAGAAGGGAGGGTAGCGGGGTATAGGCCCAGAGCTCACCTGCCCTCTACTTGTTGCTGCAGCTCCTGCACCTTGTGGCAAATTTCACCAGCCACAGGGCACGTCTTCCCCACCTTGGTGAACAGGGCTGCCATCTTGTCACTGCGCAGGAAGCCAGCAGCACGTCGTTTCAACTGATGCAGGAGGCAAGCTTCTACTGCACCTGGGGCACAAAGGAAAATAGCACCTGAACCTGCAGAAGAGGGGGGAGCCTTCTCTTTCCTATGTTCTTTCCCAAGCCTTGACCTACGTTGGAAGGAGGGACAGGCCCAAGAGATACACTCCGACCTCCTTTCAGACTCCTCCCTGTCCCTCTGCTCTGCCCGTAGTAGGCCTGAAAGAACTGTGACATGCCAAGTATCCCTCTCCCTCACCTTTTATTTGCAGCATCACCCTGTAAGGCTTTGAGGACCAACTGGCTGGGATTGGCATGAATGGCTACACCCAATCACAAGGGCAAGCAGAGAAAGCACCTACAGGACAGACAGGCAGAGAGCATACAGCCCAACAGCCCTCCTGGAGAGCATGGTGATGTGGTTGCTAAGGAACAGGGCTCTAGAGGAGCTGAAATATTGATGAAGCCACTGCACAGATTAGTTCTGACAGCAACCTCTGGCCTACTGATGAGCACTTCTAAAATGAGAGATTTCTAAAAAATTAGAGATCTCTCTTTTCCTTACTGGGAGAGCTTCCCTTTATTCATTCACATTTTTAGGAGCTGGACTTAAATGTTTCCATCTGAATCCTATTTACTGAAAAGAGACCCCATAGGAAAGAAGGGCTTGGTGGGAAAGGCAGGGAGTTGTTGCCCTGTGTATGTGCAGACTGTAAAAATACTACTGTAGGGCCTGGGATATAGCTAAGAGGCACAGTGCCCACCTAGCAAGCATGAGGTTGCGAGTTCAATTCCTGGTACAAAACAAAACAAAACAAAACAACCAAAAACCAAAAACCTTGAAGAATACTATAATGTGTACATGGGGGTAGGTCACACTGAGTGAGGTGTACTGGAGACAGGGAGACAGAGAAACCAAACTCTGGGCTTCACGTGACTACTTGCTGCTTCTGGGAAACCTAGGTAAGTAAATTAATACTATAAGCCTTAGTTTTAGCATCTGCAAAATGGGGAAGACTTTTCAGGACTGTGTGAGATGTCTTAAAGACAGGTGTGACGTACTCTGCGTAGGTTCTGGCTCTAGAGAGGCACCAGAGCCACGTCAGTCCCTGACTCTTCACCCTGTCCACTGAGACCCTGTCAGCCAATCCATAAGTCTGGTTTGGCAGGACTGCATGCACCAAAGAGAAGATCATAGTTGCTTGAGAGTAGGGTGGGTATCCTGCTGTTTTAGAGATAGGAGGTCAGAAGCCATGTCAAGTTTATTTTACTGGCACTGTTAGGACATGAAATTTGGACTTAGGGAATTAATACCCAATTAGGAGCAACTGACAAGCAGTCACTGATGTCCTACAAGGAGCTTTGCTCGGCCATCTCTTGGACTGAAGTCAAAAAGGGAGAGGGGCCAGGTAGGGTAGTATATGCCTGTAATCCCAGTATTAGGGAGGCTAAGGCAAAAGGACAGTACCAGCCTAGACTACACAGTAAGAGACTGTCTCAAAAAAAAAAAAAAAATAAAATAAAATAAAAAAAGAGGAGCAGGAGGAAGAGGAAGAGGAGGAGAATTCCTAGGGCAGTGAGGAGCCTGCTGTAGCACGCATGCCCTGGGTTTACCACCATGCCCTGGGGCCATAGCCAGCTAGCTATCTTAGGGGAGGGAAACAGGCAAATCCTTTCCTTCACACCGAGGTCACACACATTCATGAACATATTTATGGAGACAGAGATATCTACCGGTATCATTCATATAGGGGGCATGTAGGGTCATCTGTGGCTTAGATCTCTTCATTCTCCTTCCCATAAGTCAGTCCCTCTGGTCCCTAGAGTCTTGTGTGGCCTTGGGGTGTGGAGATGACTCTCGTGTCCCAGTCTGTTGATTCTGGGGCTGTGGCAGCTATAGGCTCATGCCCAGGGGAAGGCTGTAATGACTTCTTGAGGTTTCATTCCTTGTCTGGATGGGAAAAGGAGGCACACTAAACACAGCCAGAGAGGCAGCAGGTGGCACCAAGTCCTGCAGGGAATCATGTGCCTTGGTGATGTGACTAATTGCAGGGCTAATGAGTCATTAGCCTTCCCACCTTCTCCAGGGGACTGCAAATGCAGTCAGGTGGGAAGGTGTGGAGTAGCCACCCTGCTGAGCCTCACCAACCCTGGCAGCCAGCTTTTCAGCAAAGGCCCAAGATTCTCTAGAGAGTGGAGGTGTTTCTCAGCCATCACTCAACGAGGAAATGCTGAGGGAAGCCCAAACATCACACCCAGTTTCTCTGCTTACTCCACATGCCCTAAGTTCCTTCTGTGAAACACTGGGCAAGGTGCCAGTGTGTATTGGCAAAGGAAAAAATCCTCCTCACCCTTCACTTTCTAGGCAAAGCAAATGACCCTTTAGGTCAGATGCTTTTGGCCTAGTTCCATGTGCTCTTTAGCCAGTAACTATTGAAATCACAATTGTTCTAACCTGTTTCTACAGCAGTGTCCCACGAGAATCAGCAAGTGCAATGAAAAATGTTACTATGTTCAGTGTGTAGGCAAAATAATAATAAAGATAATGGTAAGAGAATTAGGATCCTAGCCTAACAGGGTTTATAGATGGGCTTCTTGGGTTCCGAATTACAGTATCCTAAAATTATATGGGGCTGGGGGTTTAGCTATAGACCAGTAGGGAGTATGTGAAAGGGAAATATTTCTTGCCTCAGTCTCTTGAGTGCTGGGGCAACAGGCATGCATCACTACACCCAGCTTCCCCTAAGATTTCTGAGTTGAGCAGAAACCCAAATATTTCCACTGAAACATAATCTTCCCACTTCCTCTTCTCTCATCCAATATACAGTGAATACCACACTCAGAACAACCAGCGGAGCCATCAAAATAAAGTCCAACTCTGTTCTGAAACATTTCTCAGGGAAGCTCTTTTGCAGACAGAATGGGGGACAGTCAAGCACCTTTCCCCAGGAGGAATCATATAGAGGCTTGACAGAAGGCTCAGAGCACCTAGCAGAATAGTTATTTCTCTTTTGCCCCAGATCTGCCCCCCATGCTCCCCATCCCCTAGGATCAAGGCCATGTAGGAGATGCTGGGTCCATCTCCCACTAACTGAGCTGTTTGGATCCTGGACCCCAGACTGAGAATTTCAGGCCCCCTTGGGTCCCAGAACCACCTACAGTCACTCTGGACACCACAAGGTATCCATCCTGACACCATTTGGCTCATTCTATTATTTTATGTTTTGTTTCTTTTTTGATACAGAGTTTCATTATGCAGTTCAGGCTGTCTGTGAACTCACTCTGAAGCCCAGGCTGTTCTGGAACTCGCAATAATCCTGCTGCCTCAGCCTTCTGCGTGCTGGGATTATAGGCATGCGCCACTATGCCTGGCTCTGGCTCATTTTATATGAGAAAATTTGTGCTAGTTAATAAAACCCAACACTTGTTGGGGTAGAAAGGTGTGGGCAAATGAATCAAAATAGAGAAAAATGACTCAACAGGAACTATCCTGTCACCTCCCATTCTGATCTTATTATGGTCTTCAAAACTTAGGACAGATGAACCTAGCTACCTCCTCCACTGTCATTTATTCCATCCTACTGACCGGACAACTCAAGGAATTCCAGCTCTCAGTGCGAACTAAATTAACTCCAGCACTTTGCAGGAATTCCACCCTAAGGATTTGAAGCTGTCTTCCCAGGGAAAGGCTTGGGCCACAGACTAGCCCCAGTCTCCAGCCTCTGATGTGCCCCTCAACCCCACTGAATTATGGAGTTTATCAAATGCTGTTTAAGGCTGGAGACCACAAGTGCTAATGGGACCCTTTAGGGCCCTACTCTGACACTGATTAACCACATAGGAGACAAGAGAAGTAGGTAGAGGAGACATTCAAAGTTGGTAATCTGCTTGCACACTGCTGGTGGGAAGGCTGGCTAATACAACTTCTATAGAGACAATATAGTACTATCTACAATGTATATATAACCTCTGGTCTGCCAACTCTTCTTCTGGAATCTTTCCTACAGATATAACTCTACGATTACTTATGTGTAACAGCAAAAGACTGACAACCATCTACATGTCTATCAATAAGGTCAGACCAAGTAAATAACAGTAGATTCCCACAGCAGAATATTGTGCAACTCTGAGAAACAATGAGATGCTCTCTAGGAACAACAGTGGAAAGCTCCTCAAACGCAACACGCAGGAGAGCCTCACTGCATGGTACCTTTCAATTACAAAGAGGATGGATAAACAAAAATTACAACCTTTTTCATTAAAATAAAGAAAAAACTCTACCACAAGGTACAAAAGTGGTGATCTGTACCAGGTGTGGGAGTACTTATGTAACTAGAGGTAGTTAAGATCCCTGTGAGTTTGACGTCAGCCTGGACTACATAGCAAGACTGTCTCAAAAGAAAAACAAACAGACAAAACATTCAAAAGCAACCTGTATATTAATAGGAGGAAAAGTGGGCAAATGGGAAGTGGGGAAGCAGGGTGTGATGGTGTATATCTATAATTGCCCTGCGTGGGAAATTTAGCAAGACTCTCAAAAAATAAATTAAATAAATAAAAGGGTTGGCTGATGTAGCTCAGTGCAAAGGCCAAGCTGTACTCTAGAATCACACCCCTACCTCATACATAGAAGAAAGAAAGAAAAGAAAAGAAGACTTCAGAGCACAACTTTATCATATAGTTTTGATTTTTCAACCAGGTAAGCGTGTTACTAATTCAAAGTAACAATATCATAATCAAGTTGGTGACCATCAAGAGTTCCCATCATGAGAATGACGTGAGGTTCTCTTCAAATTCACAAACCCTAGAAAGGCTATGTCTGTCCACCACACCCACTTTTTCAGCAGCTCCATTAGCAAATAGGATCTTCCAAATGGCTTGGTTCCCTATTCTGTTGAGACATCTGCTTAAGTCAGCAGTATATAACCTGAAATGAGCAGGGATCAGAGAAACAATTCCACAGGTTGGTCCATACCCAGGAGCTCACAAAAATGAACTGAAGTGCTGGGCCTGTAATACATTACATATCTGTAATCCCAGTACTCTGG